AGAGAGGACAAAAAATGGATTCAATCAGGGATCAATGATCTATAATTTCTATCCAATATAAAATCATCTATTGCCAGGTAATTCTATCAAATATCCAATAACTGTTCTGTTTTTCATGGTTGGAAAATTAATTACAGAATGGACTCCTTTTATTTCCTAATAATGTACAAACTGCCAGTTTTAAGTTTCTCATTAAAGTCGTAAAACTCTGATCAATAACTCTTTTTTTTATAGGAAACAGTATGTATATTATTATCCTGCTAAACTCAATGACAAATCGATCGCTGTAATAAAGACTACACTCTAAAACATTCACTTGCCACCACTAGACATCTGTGCATACTGTCATATGAAGAACTATATATAGCTAGACTAGTGTACATTTAAAACAACCCGATGCATTAAATTTACTTGATCTTTATTTCATCTTTTCTCAGGATCAGCAAACAACTTAAAACTTTTTTTGACACAAAGTAGTTATACTGTGCATATCAAGGATATGCAAGCTTTATTAAATGTAATATGTGGAATTGTCTTAAAAGCACTACTTAAGATACAAAATCTCAGACGAAGTCTTTCACCTTATTTAAGTATTTATAAGTAAAAACTCAAATAACTGGTCTTTGTGTAATTCATAAGATCACCCTAACATTTGTACTTAAATGCCTCTCTTTAAATCTTTTGACCAAAGAAAAGGACTTAAATCTCGACCAGAAAATTAACTTTGTTGTTTGAAATACTGTCGATACTCTAAAGAAACTCCCCTGAATTATGAGCGAGTAGGTAATTTAATTTTTGTGTAAGTGTGTTATCTTACAAGGATTGTAACCCCATTAACTTGTTGGTGTTGACTGTAATTTAACCATTTCAAAGGTGAAGCTATACAAAACTTGCATTGTGTGTATATACTAAATAGACCAACAACCAAGTCCCACATGCAATTGTTATATAGCAGAAATTGAATCCTACACACAGATTTTGTTTGACCATAATTGTCAAGAATTTTCTTGGCTATTAAAGGAACAAATAACCAGAATAAACATTTACAAATTTAAACATGTTAAACTTTGTAACTCTGGTAGATATGATTGTAACAAATGGTCTGAAAAATCATGCAGGACAGGGGTATGCTTTTTTTTTTTTAAGAAGAACAATCATAATAGCTGCACTTCAGTATAATGCAAGCTCCTCAAATCAAACTAAAGTACTGTTACATTAATATAAATGAACACCCTAATCACTTTTATACCCCCTGCTTTTCATGCCATGGATGGGGGGGGGGGGGGGTAGGGGTGGGAGGGGGTGTTATAGTAAATATAGTGTATTGTGATTTTTAAATGCACTTTTATTTATATGTAAGAGAATGTATGTTGGTTTCACTGTACGAAGAAACCTAAAAATGCATGTCCATATGACAACAAAATGTCAAAATTTTGAACCAAGACATTTTTTGCTCTTAACATTTTTCTTGAACCATGAAATCAAATTGATAAAACCCAAAAATCTGACTTCATTAAGTTAATGATTTTACAACATTTTGAAAATATATCATATTCATCATTATTGACCAAAATTGAAATCTGTTTGGAGATGATTATTTTGGTATTCCTGGTCTCTCAGGAAAGAGCTGCAAACAACAGCTAGAAAAAAATGTTGATTCAGAAGAAAGGCTATCTGATTAGTCTAACACTAAGCTAGATAATACATCACTCTCGGTTTGTCCGCAGGCAAGGACAATGACATCTCGGATTCTTTGGAAGGAACTAATGGAATGCAAAGTGAAGCATTAAGGACATTCTGGTCATGAGATCTTAAAATATTTCATCTTTTGTAGATTTGATTGTAGCAACAAATCCAGAACAAAAAGCAGATAGCGGAACAAGTTAGCAGACTAGCAGTATCGGAGAAGTGAAAAATTGGGAAAGTTTCAAAAGGTCCATTCAGTGTTAATAAAACGGTCCAAAATTTGTATCTAATAAACGATGATATGCAAAAGAGTAATGTTGATCTGTTTTTATTTTTCTGACAGTAAGAAATGAATACAGACGTATACCTTTTGACGTCATACTGCTTAAGACCCATCTTAACCCTAACTCAGAATTTTAGGCTCTCATCCAAATGGGTCATAAAACATGCTTTTTAATTTGAACTGGTTAAATTAAGCAGTTTTTACCTGTTAAATATTTAGATTCAAATTCACGATCCAGGTGTTTATTTGCTTTGGCATTAAATGTCTTAGCTCTGTTCTTAAACGAAGGTCAAAAGAAGGGAGAAACAATTCCCAAACAACCATTGTTATCAACACTGCTACATGTATACATACTTTAACCACATTGACAGAAAATCAAATAGGGTACCCTCTCCAATCTAAGCTAGATCTTGTGCCTTTTTTCATGCTCCATCATGAATATGTACTTGTATAATTCACTTTTTATATTATATTTTTGGGGTTTTCAGACCTGTATGTTCCACTTTTTGCCTATTAAAATTACAAGGTATCTTATTTTTGGATTTAAATATTGGTTTATTTTTGGAGTGTATTAGGGAAACAGACTATTTAAACCATTCACAGTATAAAATTTCAATTCCTTTGGTGATAAATCAGTGCCCGGGACAAAATCAATATATACAAGGGGAATTTTCACCTGATCTTGTGGGGATTTAAAATATATACAATCAAATTGAACTTGATATTCAAAACCCATATATACTACTGGCAAAGCAACACGTTAAACTACCATTACAACAGGAACTAAGATTACCAAAAAAGAAACTGAACGGTCAATTTAAAAAATGCCTTAGATTTATGTACGGGACTTCTCTCATTGATTTGAAATGAATATGGTCTAAAGTATTTTCAGGTGTTTTACACAATTCAGCACTGATAAGACTAAGTCTTTGAGAGCTCAGTTTTAATAAAATGGGATCTATGGTTTTGAAGGATTTGTAATTATATTGGTTTTTCAAGTCCAAAAAAGGGCAAATTACACAAAACAAAGAAAGAGGTCAATAGGATATATTCCAACAACCTAGGGGGTCAATTCTGCCAATCCTAAAACTAGGTAATTCATCATATATTTCATATCAAAAGATTTGACAGTGGCATCCAAGAATTTCATAGCTCAGTATAGTAAATATTTTCCAACTTAGAGAAAAATTCCAGAGGATTTAGAGAACTTAATTTAAACAGAAATGAACCTAATGCTCAAGGCATGTATTTTATTGTATTGTTTTGGATTTTAAAAAAAAGCTATTAGTCCATATCAGTTTGGCTGCATAGATGCTTACAGCTTTAGAAGGTCTAAGAGAAAGAGGGGTTACATCTGGGTATCTATCAATGCTTTATGTTCTATATAGTGTAGGATATAGGCCTCATTATGATTATTAATTATGAAAATAAAGTATTAGGACTGGTCCTCTTGGCTCTCAATGATAAATATAGAATTAATTAACATGATCAAATTAAATGTTTCCTCTGTTGGCGATCTAAGGTAGAGGCAGTTTGGATTTTATGTCTGTGTAAACAAGTCATGAACTGTAGATGTAGATATTAATCTCGGGACTCTATCAATTATTCACTTAATAATATTGAATTGCCACAGTAGCCCATGCTTGAGTATAACGACCAAGTACTGGAACAATGCTATTATAGCTACAACATACTGTACAAATAGCAAAAGGTCTATATTCTCAATAGGCACCATGTGTCATATTGTATAAAAAATGTGTGAATTCTCAACTCAAATGATTGATTGTGCTGCTTTTGGTTTTTTAATATAGATACACACCTTAATTTTCAAGAATTTATTTTAACAAGGAAGAACAGTTACATAAACATAATATTTTTTTTTTAGATTTCTAATCAATAATAACATTTATATTTGTGTGTTTTTCATTAATGATCAGGTTATTAACCTATCCTATACATTTTCCTTTGTAGAAATTTTCATGCTAAAATTAGTTGCATGCTTAGATATTTTGGTTATAATTTTCAAGAATTTATCTTCATTTGTTTACAGGCGTTTCTATATTTTTAAATGAAAACGCGTACTTAATTCTTATACTTCTGGTTTATGGCATACAATAAAATATATTTGACGGTTATACATAAAAAATAAGACAACACCCACCAAAAAATATCCTGTCAGATATTATCTGAACCATATTTAGATTCTATGCATTAAATGCATTTCAATTTGCAAAACAATAATTCTGTGTAATTTTTTTTAAAAAAAAGTCTACAATATTTGTTACTTGGACCCAAATAATCTTTCTCTTTTCGTTAATATCAATTGATATTACAATATTGATTATAAAATCTCTCATTTCATTGTTTTCCAGAAGCCTCTTGTAGGCAAACACTAAATCAATGGAACAAAGAAATAAGCCTCAAACTGAAGTTATCAGTTGTTGTAAAATGTAAATTCCTTCATAATATTGACACAAAAACCAATACTGCTTTCAAAGAAAAAATGGAAGTGAACTTTGAGTAAGGAAACCAATTTAAACTTGAATATTATTTCCTTCATAATAAAACCTAGCAGCAATGAATGTAACCATTCACATTTACATTTTTTTCCTTTGCCGTGACAGGACTACATGCAAATAGTCATTGCCTTATTCCATTTAATGATTTACCCTTCTCTTTCTCCTAAAGTGTGAATATAATAAAAACAAGACTGTTTGCATAAAAAATAAACCTGCAAGCCATCATGAATTACCAGCGGATTGTAACCCCAACCAACAATTCAAAGGATATAACAAATCAAACCTTTGCATACAGAATAGACTGTTCTTGGTCATATGTTAATGAAACGTTAAGACCATAAATTATATTGGTCTCCAACATAATAGTCATGTTAAAGACTTCAATAAAATCATTCCTGTGTGTTGGCCACCATTTAAACTGGACGATCTACCAATACTTTGTAGCTAAGTACTAGCTCAAAAAGTTTCTCTCAGGATTCCTGGGCAGGAAAGCTGGTAAATTCTGGACTCACCTTCACTGTCTTTGAACTTTTTAACAGCTACCATTTCCCCAGATTCCTGAAAAGAGAAGAATTCAAGGCTATTATTAAGCTGCATTTAAATAAATCAGTACTTTTCTTTTAACTTCTTGTTAAATATTTTTACATTTACATTGGATTTAATTAAATCTAAAAACTTCAAGGAAAGTTATCAACGAATAAGATCCTAAATTGGTCTTTACATTCAGCATAGTAATCTGCAAGCAGTACTCTATTAACTTTTTCAATAAAAAAATTTGCTTATGTATTAGGGAGAGGGGCTTGAAGAAGGGGGAGGGGGGTAACATATGCATGAAGACAAGGGGATATACTGTATGTGAAGAGATTCAGAGTATACATAGTATATATTTGTACCTGGACTCAATAAACAGACAAATATTAATTTAAGAAACCACTTTCCCTTGTGTTTTCAATATCAATAGTATCACATTTCTTTATGAATAACATTATAATTGAAAGTCCAAATAACAAAGAGCCAGAAAGGTTTTAATATGTGTGACTGTTTATATTCAACCTTTCCTGCCAACCAAACTTGAAACCAACCATATATACATCTAGGATACTGCAGTTACAGTCTTTTAAATCTTGTGTAGTTTTTTTTTAAAGAAAAAAAATTCTGATAACATTGGCTATTGACACAGGTAAAAGGTTTCCACTAATCCCACTATTGTTCACCTGTTTGGTAAAATCACAACCATTAAATCTGATCAGGAAAAAAAGAATTCTTGATCGAATCATTGACCAATTTAACAGCTACTTTTTACCCTTGGCACAACAACAATCATTGCTATGATATAAATTGCATCCCCTGAAAGAGGAAATGATACACGGCATTATAGATGGTATAGTTCAGGGGGACAAATCACCAAGATTTCAGAACAGCTGCAAATCAACAAATACGTTGTCATCTCAATCCAACTTTTTTTTACTAGTGGGTATATATTAAACATTATACATGTATGAGATCAAGGAAGAGCTGTTACATGTGTATTGTAATCATTGTCTCCTTCAAACTGTTCTTTTCATACAGAAGTTTGTTCAATTCAGGGCAATTATCCTCTGCAAGTTCAACTACATGTGATTCCTAATACATATATACATTTAATTCAACAATGTCTACTTTAATCTGTGTTTATTTTCTTGAAGATTTATGCTTAAATTTTATAGAAGTGCACACTATAGATTTTGCATTTATAATCAGTTTGAATTCACAAACAATATACAACACCACCATTGAAGGGACTTAGTGGAGGAGAGTAAAGCAAACAAACACTATCATCCAGGAGACTCTCTGGTGACCAAATGTCACATTCATATCTTAATCTGAAGCCAACCAATACTGTTCAAGATATATGTGAATGGGTATCAAACATTTCAATAGACGTAATCAATTTTCAACTTTGTATCCAAAGATATGAAAAGTATTTAGACCCCGGCAACTTATAAAACAACTGATAATGGGGCTAGGGGATTTAAAGTAAAAATATATGCCCCGACGTTATTGCAATTTAACCCGTTTTCCATTATAATGGCATCATTCAGGGAGGGAGGCTGTTTCAGTATGTAAAATCTTGCCAGGGGGCCGCTCTCTATCATTGGAATTATACATATTGACTAATTTATTTTCAGTAAATGCCATTTACACATAACTTTGCTGTGCCTTTAACGTTGAAGAATAATGTTTCCTTTTCTGCATATTTGGTGTCATACCAGTGACAGGAATCAATAAGGTTATTTGTCAATCCTCTACACTGATTTCTGAACAAACATTTGCGGTTTCAATGTTCACTAACCTGGGTAACGTGTATACATGTATACTGTGAATTAAATTCTATGGGAAAACCTTTTTTTAAAGGAAGACTTGCATACTGTATTTATATACCACGTAGTTATGAAAACGAAATTTGAAGTGTCAATTAATAACTTAAGCTGAAAATTCAACTACTGTAAAATTTGGGGTTGCATTCAAAGATGAACATAAAGAATTCCATCTTGATTTTCTAATTCTTATTTGTTTTCCATTGAAAATGAAAAGTATAACATACGTAAGAAATTGACAATTTAATACATCATTATCTATTCTGACTTTACAATCTAAATTATAAATAAGTCCTTAAAAAAAAAATTTAATAGACATATTTTTTCTTCAAAATCTAAATTTTTATGATCACTGCAGCATACTTTTATTTACTTTTTCAATATCTAAGAACTTCAAAACCGCACTGGCCTTCTCAAAAAAGGGCATAGAGTGTAGTTATTCACAGATGTTATTCACAGATGTGGACAGGCAAATTATTGTTCTAAACATAGGCTTGCTTTACTGAAACAGACATAATTGTGTTGACTTTTCTCGATAAATAAATATTTATGTTGAGCAATTCCTGCAAATAAATCAAGGGTAGTCTATTCTATTCTCACTTTATCAAATTATATTACACTTGATCGTCCTTTGATATCTGGAGAATTTTTCTGGGCCAGGCAGGCATGTGGGGGGTGTTATTTCTAACACTGAGGAATCTATCTCCTATACTACCTTAAAAGGACAAGGCATATAAATTTACAGTATTTATCCCCCTCATCCAAGGAGTGTTTGGTTATAGGTTGCTAGCAATATTCAATTTCTGTTGTGTAAATACTTGAGGTTTTATGAAGTGAGTTATTTTAAGTTTCATTACTCCTTGTCTCTCTGAACCTTTATATACAAGACAATTTTATTTAAAAATGCACAAGCCTTATTAAGTCATATATTAAATGACTTTCTAATGGTTAATAATTGGAAATGTCTGACAGCAGCTTTATATATGTTAAAGTATGCAAAAATACATTATTATATAATATATTTTGCACTTAAGTTTAAACACTATGTTTACATTTTCAAAATCTAAATGATATGTTAATAGCATTTCACAATTATTCAATCTTGAAATGTTATCCAGACTTACTTTGTGTCTGCATTTCAGCACCACCCCATAGGCCCCTGAAAAATTTATATAGTATATCAATGACTATAAAGGGATACTAAAAAAATAAATAACATTGTTACTACATGCAAATAAAATCTTGCAAAACTTCAGACTTCTAGACATACTGATATAGTTAACAGTTGTTTATTTTTCTTCCCTCATAGGAATGACTTTTAAAACAGTTATTTTCTATATAACATAAAATAAGAATTGAAATAAATTGGTATTTGTATAAGATGAATGAATGGCTTAGTTACAGACCTTCCCCTACAACGCCCAGTATTTCGTACTTGTTCATTACATATCACAGGTCTTGGCATAGGCACAAATGTTCAATTCCCCACATGTCAGAGTCCCACTCTGTAGAAAAATAAAAAACAACATTTAGTTCTTCTGCAAATTTGTTTGGTGATAAATACACATTATTTGGTTTCAATATGTGCAGGTGCATAATAATGACTTCCTGCAAGTGTACATGCTGCAAGGTAAACACCGGAAACAGTTGGCCTTTTTCTTTTTATTCGCAAACACCTAAGTGCTTTATCAAATTACCATTTCTCTCTAAAATTAAATGGCTGATAAAAAAATCAAGGAAAAAACTTTACTGCTCTAAAACACGTCACAGTGATATTTAGAAGTCAGATGTTTACACTGAGTTTAAAATTAACAAATATTGTTGTCAACTCTAATTATGTGTAAAGAATTACAATTAGAATTTTTTCAGAACATTTCGTTATCTTTTTTGATGATATGACTAAGAAATATTAAATTCTTCACAATTATATAATCTAATTATATGTGATTGTTGATTTTTACTGAATCTGTATTAAAAGTTCCAGACATAATGAATCATTTAACATATGTACATATGAAATATTTGTAAAACTAACAAATTAATTTATTTACTTCATTGTCTACCTCAAGTCTTATCAGAAACCCTGAAATTTTTTTTTTCTCATATAAAGACATTGAAAATATCAATAAGAGAAATGTAGGTTATACCTGGCTTATTGCAATAAAAGTTGGCCGCATGTCCTTACAAGTAAAACACTATTGTGTTTCATTTAAAGACTGTGTTGGCCAGCAATGAACTTCTAAATAATATCCTTCTAGGATCAATAAATCTACTGAAATGATTTAAAGCTCTAGGGGGAAAGATTGGGTGACATTAGTAATCTTATTGTGCAGTTTATCCTGCATAAGCCCTGAACAGTTTACTATAAGACTTGGTCTTAAAATAGATTTTGAAACCATTTTATTTTTTTCCCCTACAAATTTCATATATCTTAGAGAGAAAAGGATTTTCTTTATTGTACGACAATGATATTAAAATGTTAATTAAAAAAAGGTTCTAATGTTGCAAATTTTTATAAATAGATTATAAAATTGAACATTTAAGATCTAAGACTGTAAATTTTTTTTACAATTCATATCGGTTATCAAGAATTATATTTAATGTTTTTTATATTTGTCTTGAAATCAGATAATCTAAATGCTGATTCATCATTCAATGTTCTAAGTAAATTAACTTTATTTCTCAGTGAAGCACACATCAAAGTATTTGTGAAAAAGTATGTGAAACAACTTCTGCTCTAAACCATATAAAACCAAGGTATATGCTCTTTGCCATGAAAATTCATCGCTATTTTAAGGTAAGAGAGCTAGATTGAGATTCAATCATGTGAATTAATTAGAAATAAATAATTAACTATGTAACATGCACCTTCCTTAAACATGTTAAAGGGTAGGTGGACGATTAATTAACTATAGATTTATGAAAATGAAGGTAAAATGAATTTATCTTTATAAACATCAAAATTATCAAGTCTGTGAAAGTTCAATAAGAAAGAATTAAGAATTGATCAGATATGTCTCACAATATTGATAAACAACGGAAATTTACAAGAAATAATGTTGTTGCAATTTTCTACAACTTTACGCTACATGTCGATGGTTGAAATTGATACAAGTCTATAGATTTAATTGATTTAGCCTACAATCTAGCAAAAATAATACAAAAAGACTTAAAGTTTTATTTTCATGCTGATAGAAAAACTTGCATGATGATACGTACAATGGAAGTATACATAATTGTGGTCACTTAATCAAAATAAAGGAAATTTAAAATTACTGTAAATAACTGCCGTATCGTTTCAACAGGCCTAGGCCTAAATGAAAATTTAAAAATAAAGCTAAACAATTTTAAATTTAGTCAATCTAAGTTATTTTGCAAATTTCGAAAAACACAAGTAAATATTTTAATTTTAAAACAAATTATTCAGTTTCTTACCCATAAATATGGTGTGATATCGTAACATGTTTAAATCCAAATAGAGCCATGTTTATTTAACAAGTGTCCGAACATGTAAACAACTGACACAATTTAATTTAAAGTTGTTTTTAAAACGATATCCAAATTAACTCAAGTTGAAAAAAAAAAGTACGGTTCACATCTAAATAAGACAGAAAAGAAAATCGTTTAAAATCCAATCAATCACTGTTGCAAGATATGTACTTCCTTAACGGCGCAACAACTTTGTTTAGTTGGTCAACATGCTTCGCAGTCAAACACCCTGTGCGCTTTGTCCGCCATGAATATTTTCCTTGCCAACATACCCATGATGCACCGTCATTCAAAATGGTGTGGCTAAAGAACGCGGGTACAAGTCAAAACGGTACCTGGTGAAAACGGCACTTGGGAAATATGCAAAACGGCACTTAGGCCTAGTCAAAACGGCACTTGAGAGTAGTCAAAACGGCACTTATTTCATTTTTTTCTATTTTGTTATTTCCTGAGTTGTTTATATGGGAAATTGGTGTTTTCTCAGTTAAATTTATAACATGATATATTTTTATATTATTACTGATAAAAATTTACAAAAAATATTTAAAAAAAAAAGAAAAAAAATAATTAATTCCTTTTAAAATATATTATTATACAATAGTTAGATTTTTTAATGTTTTGTAAATTATCTGTCAATTATTTTCTACAAACTGGACAAAATCTTAATTAATTATGATCCTTTGATATTTAATTTGGTACTTCTATCAATTAAAATAATATGTGTTCAACAGTCTTCTTCTTTGATTGATCAAAGGGATTATTAAGTAGCTAGTGGTTGCATAATTACGGGGGTAATGATGAGACACTGCCGGGAATTTGGGGTTGGTGTACCCTGTTTACCATTCTACACTGAAGAAAAGAAGAAGAAAGATGGGTAAGTTATTAGTTAAGAATTATGAAAAATTAGTATTACTTATTATACCTTACAGTTATATATTTTAAACATTATAAAAAATAATATTGTAGTTGGAAATCATTATGTATAGTAGTTCAATTAGTAAAGAAATATTTAGGAAAGTTCTTTAAAATTTAGTTCTTATATCTTTCAAGATAATTAATGGCAAATTTAAGGTAGTTTAAGGTGGTATATATATGCAAAAATAGTAGGCAATAATTATTTAGTTTATTTTTCTAACATTATGAAAATAATAATGTAGTTTGAAATCATTATATGTATATGTAGTAGTTCAGTTAGTTAAGAAATATATTTCAGCTAGTTATTAAAAAATTCTTATATTTATTTTTCATGATGATGCCAAATTTAGGGTAGTTTTAGGTGGTATATATACAAGAATTATAAATTTAGCATTTAAGATGTATTCAATAATCATAAATTTTTGATAATTAAATTTTTATGATTGTGAAAGAAATCATTTAAAGTATTATATATTGCAAAAGAGTAAAGTGATGATTTAGTTAAGATTTGTTTGGTATAGTATTTAATTGATGTATATTCTTAATATCTTAAACTTCATAATTTTCAACATTTTTAAAAAATAAGATAATTTAGAGTTGTATTGACACAAATTTTATAGCATTTTTGTTTTTCATTTGTACAACATATTCAAAATAATGTATGTGTCATATAGTAGAAGTTTTCAACAAATTGGTTTATTCATCTTTTTTTTTTAATTTTTTTTTTTAACTTATTACATGTATATTTTGGGGGGTTATAAGGTGCCAGTTACAGATGACTAATTAGAAGCCAGTTAGTGAATGTTTACTTAGAATACACATGTAGGAATAAGAAACAAAAGACCATTTCACACCTCCCCCATTCTGCTGATTATCAATTTGCAAACATATACTATTGTGTGTTTCACTATTCTTTATTGAATATTAAAATATGCATTGCACACACTTGTAAAAATCTTAGAAAAACTAATTAAAACTTATGTATTCATAAAATCTGAATAAGTATACATTTTCTAAGTTTCTACAAATTACTATATATAGAAGTGCCAAAAAATTATTTATAACTGCAGATGAAAAATACAATGTTGATATTATAAAATTTAATAATTCATGAAGATATCACTAAAGTTATCGACAATTTGGTTGACATCGAAGTTATATAGTGTACCGCTTCCTTCGACAAGTCATGTCTCTGCCTTTTCTCCCCCCTGAGCACATCGAGGACACCTTTGACAGGCTTGATGCCAGGGCACCAGAGCAACTGCAACCCATCATGGACTACGTGTACCACACCTGGATTAGAAGTGCTGTGTTCCCCATCGACAACTGGACCGTATTCATGACCTCTGTGAGGACGAACAATGACGTGGAGGGGTGGCACAACCGTTTCAACACGTGTGTAGCCACAAGGGGACCTGTGCCTTTCTACCATTTAATCCAGGAGTTGTACGCGGAGGCCAGCGATATTCCTGTCCAGCTCCGATTGGTTACAGAGGAAAAAACTCCAGCGCTACCAAAGGAAGAAGAGCAGGCAGATCCAGGGGAAGCTGTTCAATCTGTGGGAGCGGTATTGCGAGAGAAGCCTGTCTGCAAGTCATCTACTGAAGGAGTGCGCCGTTGTGTATGGACCCCCTGCCCAGTAATATGGATGAACTGAATTAAGGAAGGTGTTCCATTTTCCCGACTGAACTTTATTGACGTGATTGTGATCGAAAAATAAAATTGTGATGTTTAATAGTTTTGTGATATGATTTTTGCTGAACATCTTATGATGTACATATCCTATTGATGATTGTATGATTGTATGAATATGAAAACTTAATTTATATGTTTGCAGTGCATGTAACTATTCGCATTGGTAACAATGCTATTTTATGATTGCTATATGTGATTGTGATGTTTAATAGTTTTGTGATGTGATTTTTGCTGAACATCTTATGAGAACAATGCTATTTTATGATAATGTAATACAAAATATAATAAAGTTAATATCATCATTATTATTTAATTTTATTTAATTTTATTATTTAAAATAATTTACATTAATAGTAGCTATTACATATTATCAAGGTTTATAGGAATTTACTTATAGATAAGCAAATTAAAAATTATATGCTTGTCTATTTTTAATTAATGAATTTCAAAGTAATAAAAGATGATGTTGTTATTGCTTATTGATGTTTTTTTATGAATAAAGTTATATTAAAAAAACAATGCTGTTATATCTTTACTATAAAAAGGAGGCTATAAGATGAGAATGACGATATGGATATTAATACCAGAATGGATATATATTTAAAGAAATGAAATAAAAAGAAATTTATTTCATATTTAGTAATTAAATTTGCACATTTAAGGAATAAAAAAATATGTAAAAATATAAGGACATTCACTTATATATATATATTGTTTTCTTGGGAAAAAAATGGACCCCCCCCCTTCCCAGAAAAAAAAAAATTATAAACTGTACATATCTATATGCCAACATGCAAATATATATCAATATATATATCAAATTGTCATTACATATATACTTTTTTCTATAAGTGCCGTTTTGACCAAGTGCCGTTTTAACCAAGTGCCGTTTTGACCAAGTGCCGTTTTCACTAGGTGCCGTTTTGCATAATCCAGGTGCCGTTTTCACCAGGTGCCGTTTTCACCAGGTACCGTTCTAACCATAATTCAAGAACGCACAGGTTGAGGAAATCCTGAGTTTTGCTGTCGCACGCAACAATGCGAAATTAAATTTTCAGGCATTTCAGAATTTTATATATCAGTTTTGCTGAACATTTTACATATTGTTTTAAAGACAATTCGAGATTTTTAAACCAACAAAATTTAAATCAATAAAAAAATTGAAATAATTACCATACCGTTTGGCCAGGTAAAATTAATCTTTAGATTCTCATCCTAATTTGCAAAAAAATTGGGGCGGGTGGGCGGATTTTATTTTTTATTTTTTATAATTGTTAATTTATATATAGGCCTAAGTATCAACAAAACAATGGACGCCCCGTACACATTGTTTTCATTACCTTAATGCAAATATGAATAGATTTAATTCTTTTCATATTCTTTTAAATATTTAAAGAAAATTTTTGCTTTGAAAGTTAAATATTTATTGTTAATTAACAAATTATCAAGTACACATTATACGCCACACCCTGAACAAAATGAGGTGGGGATAACCAATAAATTGTGTATGCGTGACTTCTTATTTTGCAAAATTTTAATCTATATAAATGTTCTAATAGTTATTCTACTGAAAAATCTAGGCCTTCTCTTAAGTCTGTCTACGATGTTGTAGATTTTTTTTTATTTCAAAGCTAAGTCACACAGCTGGAGATCGTTATATATAACTTGACCAGGTGTCATTTTCCTCGTCTATTTTTACTTAGTTACAATCTACATACTTGCTCCTGCCAGTGATGGTATCTTATATGTGTTTATGCTATTTTTTCTTCTCTGCCTTCTCTATACTGACAAATTATCTTTTCCTTACACATTTAAACTGCTTTTATTGCCGATTTTTCTCCATTCTTCACATGGCGTTTTTGCTATAAATAGCGACACGCGACTTTTAATACAGACGGGAGATAACTCTTAAACTTTGACCCAAATTCTTACTGAATAAAAATTCATGAAAATACCCAAAAATCAAAATAAAAAACATCGGGGCGGGACATTTTGAGAGGGGCGGGCGGGGATGAGAATCTAAAGATTAATTTTATATGGCCTTTTTCCAAACTGTATATATATTTCTTTTAATTTGATATATAAATTCATAAAAACTGTCTTCTGTCTTATGATACACGTCCTACTAAATTGTTGTATAAGGGATTCTTCACAATTTGTGATTAATTTAATAAGATTAAAAAAAATGTAAAGAAAACAATTTGCAACAAATGTCGCACTTCGTTCTGTTGATCTAACTCTTACAGGAATATTGTTCATAGAACCCCTCGGCCACACACTCACAGTTATCACTTCACCGAAACCTGCTCACTTAATTATTCATTAAAATGGCGATGGAACATGATTGATTCTAATAAAGACAAATTACCGTCCAATTTTTTTTTAACCACGGGAAAAAATCTCGAATGTCAGTGATGCGGGCGTTTGCACATTCGCACAAATATTCTTTCCAAAATGCAGAGGACAGTGATTCATCTGATGATTCCACGTACAAGTATTGGTTGGATAAAGAAAAGTTTTTGGAAACTCGAACTCTAAAATATTTTTCGAAGGGATCCTGCATTTCATGCAAAAGAGAGGTAACTTAACGCAATACACATTTTTATAACTGAGAACAAAAAATACAAACTATAATATATGCGAGTTCATGTATTTTCTAAAAGAGTTAATACAGCACTGTAGTCATTTTTGTTTTATCATATATAATAGAAATAAAGTATTTAAACCATCAATAGATTTAGACTGGCTTGCAGTCTATAATAGATTTCGGCAAACAATATATAAAGCAATTTGGGTTTAAATTCATCATGAATATCCTTTTTCAAACAAACTAAGAAGCTTAGTCGAGAAACTAAAACCATTAGCAATAAAAAGTAATCAACATTAATTATTCAGTATAATAACAGTTACTAGGCATGGAATCATGAATATATAATATCATTATATTCTCTTCTCTATGTATAATATTAAACTAGTATGTTCAGAATTCGATGAAATCATGAAAAACTGAAATTCAGAATATGACTAAATTTTGGGAAAATGTCAGTTTATACTTTATTAACTACGTGTTTACATTAATTTGATTAAAATGATTTTGTGCTCTTTAGTTAAAAAAAAAAAAAATACACGAATGAGAAAGCGTACGAGGTAGCAAAGTGCAATCCAATGTTTTCGTACGACCAATCAAAACCCGGAATTTATTCATCCCGATGTAAACAAAGCGGAATATTTTGAAAATTTTAAAAGATGTGAAAATGACAGGGATTCAAACTTCTTTTTGTTTTTAAATTTATGAAGTAAACTCTGCAAAAACTTAAGATCAGTTTGAAAATTCATAAAAATGGACTTTTGACAGAAGCTTTCATTTCAAGGTTCTAAATTCTAGCGAGTTGTGCAGCAAAATGGAGCGAGATCGACCAGAGTATATGTCGGCTGAAGACTTGAGAAATAGATTATACCACAGTCTAAGAGACAGAGGATTATTCGATTCTATAAAGGTTATTGAAATTCTAATCGAATTCATCGAAAAATAAAATGATGTGCATATAAAGTAGGCAAGAGTGTGCAATTATGTATCCTGAAACATGTTAGCACCTGTCATTTCAGTTTTCATTTCGAATTTTCTCAACGTTTCTTTCTTGAGAGTACATCACCATTAAGTACATAACTTTGTTTTTAAGTTTCTTTATTTAGAGTACAGCACCATTAAGGACATAACTTCGTTTTAAGGTTGATAATTTTAGAAAATTGTTACTTAATGATAACTTTCATGCGTGAAAATTGATTTAGAAACAAAAATAACTAGATTTTGAATGATTCTCTAAGTTTATGTCAATAACACACGAGTTTATTTCAATATTGTGTGACAGTTCATGCATTATGCATTTATTTGTTGTGTATTTCCAGCTAAAGTGAAAGCAATTTAGCAATCTATGTGTTGAAAAAAATGTTTCGATATAATAAAACGGTTCTGGAATGGGAACTCGGGAAATAGCAAATTTATGGTTCCCCTAGGCAGAAAAATGCAACTTCGCCACCTCTGAAAATAGTTTCCTCCCTTGGGAAACCATAAATTTGCTACGTCCCTCGTACCCATTTCATAACTATATACTGTTGTTAAAATGATATTGTCCTATGGAGGTACGGACCCAGTTGTGGTGAGGGCTTGTCCTGAGACACAGCTAGATTATTCTAAGTAACTATATATAGGAGTATGATTTGTAATGTTTTAAAACTATACATTATTTTTGAAATGCAAGCTAAGGTAAATAAAGGTGGTTAATGATGAGAAGTCTCCAGATATCGATGACCATGTGCCACCTGTTGCTATTTCAACCTGAATAATTAATTTGTTGATATGAAGGAAAAGTTTCTGTGCCATAATATTTGTTTATACACATATAGTGCAAGATTGTAAAGAAAAAGTAAACAAGAAATTGTGAGATTTTGAACAATTGCAAATATGTTATTGTGTCTCTGTTATTATGAAGTGTATTGTAGTAAAACAATATTGAATTGATTTGAAATTATAATGATCTACTTACTGAACAATCAAAATTTTATCACATTTTTATATTACCACATATAGAGTCAGCTGAGAAATAAATTGGTAACAGAACTACAACAAACAACAAAGGGACACCTTTCGGAGAGAACCGCTAAAGATGCAGAAGAGGGATCCTTGTTACACAGAGCGTCAAACAGCCTGGTGGCAGAACATTTACGACACTGCAAATATGACTACTCGCTTAGTGTGTTTTTACCAGAAAGCTCAACAGTTAGAGATAAAGTAAGTTTAAATAAATTAACTTAATTTAAGGTCATATTCTGTTGTCCCATTATGTTTTTTTCACAAGATACAATGTGCATTCCCACTTTGTACCATAGAGGATTTTTTCTGAAGAGAATGTATTTTTTATCAATATCATGAAAATAGCCATTCATAAATTTAAATTTTGTATAATTATATTTAAGTAAATATACTTGATGATTAAGATTTTATGATCATGATTGTATTTTGCAATGCAGCTGCCACCTGAGCCAAAATTGGAAGGCTCAAGTGAGTTTTTTCAAAACAGTTGACATTCGTTGTAGATCGTTGTTGTCGTTGTTAAGTTTAAATAACAAAACTTGGAGAAATGGAATTTTTACTGTTCTAAGGTCAATATTCTGGAAGAGAGAAATGTCATTTTCCATGGAGAACTTTTTTGTCACATGAATTCATGTATATCCTCAGGTAGTGCAGATTACATGCAAAAAATGGCCAATAAAAATATAGGTGCATTCCCACTTTGTACCATAGAGGATTTTTTCTGAAGAGAATGTATTTTTTATCAATATCATGAAAATAGCCATTCATAAATTTAAATTTTGTATAATTATATTTAAGTAAATATACTTGATGATTAAGATTTTATGATCATGATTGTATTTTTTTTTTAAACAAAAAAACTTCTTGGATACAAAACTGAAAGTTTATACATTGTCACAGTAATCCTTTAGCCAATTCTGTAAATTTGTTAGAATTCTATAATACATGCTATTAAAAATTATTTGAAATTTAAGATTTTTACAACCCATGACCTTCTGCAAATCCTTGGAGTCAGTTCCCAATCAAGATTATATCGCAAAATGGTAAGTTGTGGCAATTTAGTTATAAAATAAAAAAAGTTACTAAAAATCTTCTTGCCAGTAATTGAGATTGAATGAAATAATCCCTTTTTCCATTGCAGGCAAAAGGACAATCTGATTCAAACAAGAAAGGTAAATGATTTTGCAAAAATGATTATTAATGGAAATTGTTTTAGAGAATAATTTTAGATTGTTTTATTCAGATTTTAAAAATTAAAAATCCATCTTACAGCATATAATGCTATGATAATGTATCACTATGTGTTAAAGGCTTTAATTCTCAATGTTAAAAAAAAACGATTTTAATGATGATTAACTTACATGTACATGTATGTCATATTCGGCAGGATTTTTATGGCAGCTACTGTGTGAATTATCTGCCCTCCACTCTAATGCAATGCAGGAAACCGGAACTCAAACAGATCTCATCAAAATTGGAGTTGTGTCAGCACTTGGTATGTTTTATTTTAGATGACATGGATAGACTGTACCCTTTTTCTTCAATTTATGATAATTAACTTCTAAGATATTATGATTTGTGCACTCTTCTCCATCAGATGAGAAGCTTGGAGAAATGGAAGACTTTTACTCTTCTAAAAGAGATGAAAATTTCCGAATCGGTGCTACAGCTATGGAAGAGAGACTGATGTCATTTCAGAGACAGCTGGAGGAGAGGTACAGAACAGACCTGAAACTGGAGGTATGCTAAGGCAAAAAAAAATTAATTTCTTGGTTCTCAGGCCCTCCCTCATCTCTTCCAAGGGTGCCATATTGACCCTTTTTATTGCTAAATCAATAAAATATAAACACCAAATCACCTCCCTCATCATTTTTTGAGGTTTTGTACAATGTAAAAAGCTGCCTCATCATGTTTTGGGGGCAATAAAAAAGAAAAAAAAAATGCCTCCCTCCCTCATCATATTTCTTGAAAAAAGGCCTGCGAACCAAGTAATTAACTTTGCATTGCCTAAACTCCTCATGTTTATACTGAACAGATTATTTCAGCAAAAAAAAAAAATATCAGTGAAGAAAAAGAATTCCCCTGAATACCAAAAAATAGATTAACATTGCAGGTGACCACAGCAAAAGAAAAATGTACTGAAATTCATAATAACAATTAACAAAGTGTGCAGAATTAATAGCACTTGTATACAGTTTTTTGACACTGGATAGACAACTTTGTTTTCATTTTTACACAATCTAATGATGCATATTTTCTGTGAAGGAATTCTCTTTGTGTAAAGAAACATATGTACATGTATACCAGGAGTATTACATGTACTATTTGATTATTTTGACTCTGTTTTCAGGTGGCCAGAATTAAGGACAGTGAAGCAGCAAGGATTAGACTGGAGGAGAAGGAACAATGTAGAAGGGAGTTTGATCAACTAAGAAGAGAGGTAAATTGTTTGATTATCATAGTACCTAGCAGATTTTGAGTCCAGAGATGTTTTTTGTCAATAGAAAAGTAAATTTTATGCTCTAGAGTGTCTCTAATGAATTAGCTCCCCCCTCACCCAAATGGTTTCGTTTGTAGAAATCAATGATGAAATGATAATGGGATACTTTAAAAGTCCATCAAATAGAATTTGGGTTTGGTATTCTCAAGCTTGAGACTGGGAATGCTGAGGATGACCTTTTATTATTTTACTTTAACTTTAAACATATGGGAAGCAGATTGAAATACATGTATTTAAATTACCTATACCATCAGGGCTTGATAACTCTAACCTTGAATTCCATCTTCTTCAGTGCATGTCATTTATTTTAAAAACTTCTAATTTTACAGCTTGAGAGAACATATCAACAGAAAACTGATTCACTTCTACAGAAAGAAAGAAATTCAATTGAAAGAATGCAAAGGGAACAGGAGGTATTAAAACTGGTGTATATTAACCTGCAGTACTTTAATTAAATGTTTTAGTATACATAATGTGAAATTTACCAGCAATTACTTTGAAATCAAAGCAATGTTTATTGAATATATATCTTTGAAGATACATGAGAAGGAGATTTACACTCAGAGGCAGTCAATATTGGAAGAAATTGAGATTTTACGCAAGAGAGAAGCAGAGGTCAAAAGGGCATCAGAAACTAACGAGAGGTGTGTTGCTCTCTCTACTTATCATACAATGTATTTTATGAAGATTGTAATTAAATAAATTTTTAAACAATTTTTGATTAATCTTTACACCATACATACACATATGATTTAATGCTGTATTATTACTACTGTATACTTTGTGTGACAATTTCTTTTTTTTTGTATAAATGAAAAAATACCCTCATCCAAAATTGCAATATTTACCTTTAAAAGTGATTTATCTGTAACATTAAAGTTTTAAATATAAATACTTTAGGGAAAGGAAATTAAATGAACAAAGGGTGAAAGACAGGGAGACAGATCTCCGGCGTAGAGAACAGGAAGTGAGGAGGATGGAGGGGGAATACGAACAAAAGCTAAAGAATGAAATGACAAAGTAAGGATAGGGATATTTTTGTGCTTTTACATTAACTACAGTAAGCTTTGAGTTGATGGTTGAAAATAGCAATTTTGCATGCCAAGGATAATGGCTGTTTCTTAGTGCTGATTTCTATGGACAAATCTTGATTGCTTAAAATATATAACGATCAGTATTCAAGCTCAACAGTTCATTAAACAATACCAAATAGGAGCAGAGCAAACATGGACCTCCAAAACATCAGAGGTGGGATCAGGTGCCATGGAGGAGTGAACATCCCCTGCTAACCAGTCACAACCACCGTACATATAAATTAAAGCACAATTTGTCTTTAAAAATTACTTTCTAGTACCTGTGTACATCTATTGTTATTCCTCTTCTAGATTCAAAGTGGAGGAACAAGCTAAGTATATGGAGAGATCACAGAACCTGGAGATCAGGGAGGCGAGGGCCAGAGGTAAATACACTTAGTCCTTGAAAATAAGATTGCAAAAAATATACCTATATACACAATATGCAGTATAGAATATAATTTATGGCTTTCAGATGAGGAGAGAAGAATTAGAGATGAACAAGAAAGAATTCAGAGTATCAGAGACGAACTGAAAGACAAAACAATGAGAATCAATGAATTGGAGGTAAACTCTCTCTTTCATCAAGTGATATGTTATGCAAAGGGCAAGAAATTCACTCATCAACTTGCAAAGCTTTTATTTGATTGGCATGTTGTGGAAAATGTTATAATATTCATTTCATTTAAGAATTTCTGGGTTTCAGAATTAGAATTCATTGTGCATCAAGGTACTTAATTTGTACTTTTTAATATTTTTAGACAAGGCTGCAGGAGGAGAAACATGGAGAAGTGTCAGCTGTGAGACAGAACGAGTTACTGAATGCAAAACTCAGAGATGTAAGTTTCCTCTGTGTTTGTTATACCCCCCGCAAACGAAGTTTGGGGGGGGTATATAGTAATCACCTTGTCCGTCTGTCCGCCTGTCTGTCTAGCTGTCCATCTGTCAGTCCGTCTGTCTAGCTGTCAGTCTGTCTGTGCAAACATGTCCGGTCCATATCTTTCTTACGGAGGAACATTAGAATCTACTACTCCACACAAAGATTGCTTATGACCAAAGGGTGTGTCATGACCTTAACCTAAGGTCATTTGGGGAAGTTCAAGGTCACTGGAAGAAAAATTTCATAATTTATGTCTGGTCCATATTTTTCTTATGGATAAACTTAGTAGGTTCTCATTTCACACAAAGATTGCCCATGACCTTAATAGTGTGTCATGACCTTGACCCAAGGACATCTGTGCAAGTTCAAGGTCACTGAAAGAAGAATTGTATCATTCATGTTTGATGCATATCTTTATTATGGAAAAACTTACCTCTGAAAAACCCAGCGGGGGGTATTTTATACCGTTTGGACAGTTCTACTTTCTGTGGACTTTACCATTCACTTTAAATTTGAGTGAGACAAAAATTATCTAAATCAGTCAGATGGATTTTGAAGAATTATTTGCTTTTGTTTTCTATAAACTCATCTTTTAAAGCATAAAAACAGGCAAGGATACTGTAAACCTATTACAGTAAAACTCGGTTATAGCGAAGTCCCGGGGACCTGAGAATATAATTCGCTATATCCGTAATTCGTTATATCCGTATAACGAATTCGTATAACCATTATAGCGAATTCACAATATGCATGATTTCCTTCAGGTATTGCTACCAAATATGTTATGGAAGCAATTATTACGAAACATATCTTCGATAACTAAGGTTTTATTATGAATTAAATTGTATATACAAATGCTAAACGGAAATAAGATCAGTTCAATTTATCAATTTTTTTATAATCTTTAAAAGTTTGTTATAAAAGATGTAAATTTCATTATATTTAACCCAACGGGACTCAGAATCAGTTCGCTATATCCGTAAATTCGTTATATCAGAGTTCGTTATAACCGTAAAATTTTGCAAAAATTTGTTAAGAATTTTGACAGGGACCCAGAAAAACTTCGCTATATCCGTGAATTCGCTATATCCGTGTTCGTACTAAACGAGTTTTACTGTACATTTGGTGGTGTATTCTTTTAAGTGTTTATGGCGGAAATAAACTCCCGCTAATTCAAGTACAACGTTAAATGTCTGTAACATATATACATAATAAGAACAATAAAAAATGCGCTAAATCAAATCTACGCTAAATTGTTCAAAAATCAATTTTCTCCAAATATTGTACACGCTAAAATACAATACATTTAAAGTATGTTTTCTTTAAGAAAATTTAATTGTAATTATTAGCAGAATTTAGATATATTTCACCATAATTGAATTTTCACATTGATTTGAATTTTACTATAGATGGCTGACTACAGAGTCATGAAGGAACAAAATGCTGTTATGAAAAATGAGCTTGAAACTCTTCGAACGTAAGTGTGATTGTCAACTGCATGGCAGAAGATAATTTACATTACTTCATTTTGTGAAAATGTTAGCTATCCTCTTTTAAATTTTGCAGAAGACTATCAGAGGTCATGCAGATGAACGAAAGAGAAAGGGGAAGTGAGTAAAAAAAAACATTGAAATACATCATAAAATTATCATGTTTTAATTGATATAAAATTTTATCACTTTAAAAAATTCACACAAATGTATATTGTATGACCATGGTAAATACAAAAATTCTGAAAGTAAGCATTTTAACATTCTGGGTATTTCAAGGAAATGTTTACATTGAATTGATTTCTGTTCCCAGGACAGGAGGAGATGATGAAGGAGATGAGACGACCGACGCCGGAGACTCTGATGTTACAGCGGGAGCTGGAGAAAGCCAAGGAGAGTCTGAGACAGGAACAGACGCTGTCTAACGCCGCCAAACAACAGCTGGAGAAACGACTTCAGGAGGAGGTAACTGTGGTGTTCCCTGACATATGATAAAAGATACACGGATCTGATGTCCAATATAACATAAACTAATCTTAATGAAGGGATGGATTTCTTCAAAAGTTAAATTAATCAGCTTTAAGTAGATTGTATAAAGGAACATCTGTCAAAGAATCTTTTCGTGAAATGACTCGGTAGCATTTTTTTTCTGAATATTTTAATACTGTATACAGGATTATTTTCGCACTGTGTTTTATGTTCACAATTTTGCACATGTGAACAATTTGGCCCCATTTTGAATTGGCCCAGTCATAGTTCTGTTTGAGAAATTACACTGTATTCTTTGAATTTTTCCTGTTTTAAATTTGTCCAGTCATGAAGAGGGCGAAAGGGGCGAAAATAAAACAGGGGCAAAAATTTCGCTGTATAATGTATACAGTAATTGGAAAATTTTCTCTAAAAACCGTATTTATGACAGATGTTTTGCCAAAGTACCATTTAATATTTTTTAAATTCCCAGATGGACAGAAACAGGGACTTACTGAGAAGGTTTGAGGATCAGACATTACAGATGAAGGAGATGAACCAGGAGTTAGTGGACCTGAGGGCTCAGCTGTCTATCACTCATAGAGGTAGGTAACAGCATAGTTGCCAACTCACCCGATTTCGTCGGGTCACACCCCATTTTTCAACCCGTTACCCGATTATTTTTTATGACCGGGCGGGTCATGCTTTTTTTTTGGTACACAAGACAAAATCTCCCGTTTCCGGAAAGTGTTAGGTTGCACTTTTAACTTCCAGTTACAACCAAATTAGGTATATACGTAAACAATGCCGATGGATTAATTATCTGTGCAGGTGTAAACAATTAACTGGGTGTTGTTTAGACAAATTAATGTTTGAAGTCAATTAAAATGGCTTCGATAGAACTAGATCGTTATCAGGGCCAACAGGAACAAATTGAACCAAACACATGTCTCTGATTGAACCAAGAAAAAGAGAAACGATAGTTATGTACATATCAAGGAATCTTGGGGGAAAAAACTGTTTCTAGATAAAATAAAGTGATCAAAGACAGTGTAGGCCTTACTTCAAATTTAAAACATGTTGCAGTAGTTAATTGATTAAGAGAGAGGAAAAACAACTTCAAAACTGAAATTGGTATACTTTCAAATTTAGCAGAAACTGAAAAGGCTTTTTAAAAAAAATGCACATTTACTTCAGGTCAGTACTGAAATATGAAACCTTCAATTTTCATTTTTAACATGTAAATTAAAGCAAATTATGTATGAATTTTTTTGTCATAGTAAATTAAATCCTTTTTCAATAAAAGAATTCTCAATACACAAATATTTTGTATATATGTATAAAATTCAATCATGGTAAATATGTCGTGAATGTCGTTACGTGTTATGACCAGTTTTTTTACTTTCCAAATCTGGTCATGACCAGATTTTTACATGCTGGAGGTTGGCAAGTATGGGTAACAGGGATGAGAGGGGCAGTGTTACCCGCATTTACAAAGGCCTAAATGCTAACAGAGATGTTTATACTGTAGATTCCTAAATATGCGCGTGGAATTAATTATCGCGTAATTTCGCGAGAAGAACCTCACGCGAAATTGAATTACTCGCCCTTATTTTTATGGTGCTGAAATCTTTGTTAAAATTCTTGATCAACCATCTATTCGCGAATTCTTATTTTCCCTAGTTGCTGTTGAAGAGCCCATTCGCGATAAAAAGTACTCGCGAAAAATAAGGAATTTGCAGTATGTAAAAAGAGATGGAATCATCAAACAATATATTGATTTTTCTTTGTTTTGTAAAAATATAATGAAACATCAAATGTTTGACAAGTGTTGTGACAATTTTTCAGCATTAACAAATGAAGTATATAGGAAACCACATGAAGAAGGAACTAATATGAAGTAAGGATATACTAGATATGTTTCTGTGCAGTTTTGATATTTGTGGTGATTGAAGTCTAGGAAATGAATCTGCATTTACTTCAAAAAAAAGAAAGAAAACCTTCCTTAAATGTACCTGTAAATCTGTTTTCAGTCGTTCCGTTTCCTTCCGTATTCCAAATCAGCCCAGAGAAGCCCCCCAGGAGGAGGAGGACAGGGAAGAGGAGGAATATCTGGGGCTCCCGGGGTCTCAGTTTGCCTCCAAACAGTCCAGTCCCCGCCGCCCCAACAGACAGAGGGAGGAGTATGATGAACATGATGTTTACAATGATATCGAGGCTGAGTTTGGACTGCCCTCTACTGGAAAGAGGAGGCTTTACCCAGCATTCTCTGAAGATGATGTTTCTTCTACTAACTCAGCAGATGTAGTGGCTGAGGCCAAATACAGACTCAAAAGTTTAGAGAGAGAGGCCCAGGTACTTGTAGCAATTAAATTGTTGTGTTAAATTCATTAAAAGGTTCATGTACTTGATTAGACAGGTTATGAAAATGTTCCTATAATGAGCTTTAGAAATATTAAAAATGTATTTTATAATATTCTAGAATTTAGAGTCAGCTTACAGAGATTTCCATTACAAACTGTCCAACCCGTCATCCGGTCCCATAGAACGGTCAAAATCTGACAGAGTTACTGAGGAAACTCAGCTGAAAAAACAAGAGCATGGTAAGGATACTGTCAGGAGAAATTCCTACCACTGAAGTCAGATTTTGAGATATTTGAGAAAAAAAGCTACTTTGTCTTACTTTGTATTGACAGAATCTCAGAGTCAGAGAAGAGTTGCCTCCCCTGTGGCCAGTCCTATACATCGCCCATTGTCCTCCACGCCTTACCAAGGGAGACAATCCGGCTCTGGTGGAAATCTCAATGGTCAGATTTTATATAAACTTACAATGGAAGTATTTTTCAAACTCACACTGTTGATTATGCATTTAACAAGCAGGAATTCTAAGTGTGTCCTCTCTTACATTACAGATAGCCTACATGAGTTGACAGGATCGGGGGCTGAGAGGAAGGCGCCACCTAGGTTTGACCTCTCTACAATGTCAGATGATGGAAATCAGTAAGTTATCAAGCTTAATAAATGTAATTCACCCTAGAAGGTGCTTGATACTAAATTTTAAGCATACTACATGTTGCACTTCATGTACATGTTTGAATTCCATTTGTACCTTGAATATATAAGTGCTTGAGCATGAAAAAAAAAGTGTTTCTTATAGAAGTAAAGTGTTATTTATATTAACTTTTGTCACTTTACAACAGCAAAGAGCCAAGAGTTGAAGAACGGCCTCGACCTATTACAGTATCTGACCTTGAGGCTAGACCAGGGTCACCTGGCATTGTAGTAGTTCCAGGGTCAAGGTCAAGTGAAGATGAACTGTCACCCAAACCTGAAACAGGTAGGACTGTTATGTTAAGACATGATTAATCATAAAACATACCAATATTAAATAACTTTGCTTTGATGAATGGAACTGAATAAAAATAATTTTCACAGAATGTATGCATGCACCATTGTATGTGTATTTAACCCAAAATAACACTCTAAACCTTATTTATAGCTGCTATAGTGACTGAGGCTGCTACCCCGCTAAGGGCCCCTCCTGGGGGTAGACTACAGCCCATCTCATTGGACAGTGCCTGGAAAACTCCCGCACAAGATGACAAATCAAATGAAGGTCAATTGTTGCATTTAATTTAATAAATAAGAGATCAAAATTATTATTCCATTTGATAAAATTTTAGAACTTGTAATGTTGATATATTTTGTATATGATTGATAAACATTATGTGATGAAAGCTTTCATTTTCTTGTTATGTTATGTATAAAATTACAACAAATGCTGAAGCACATCTTCTTCAAAATCATAAGCATAATGAATGTACCTGGTACTTAAAGCCCTATCTCCTCAAGAAGTTTTCATTGAAAAATTCTTAACATTTTGGCACCAAATGAAGAAATGTATATAGGTGAATAAAAATTAAAACTACTCTTCAAACAGAAGAGAAGAGAAAGGAAGAAGAGAGAAGAAGAAAGGAGGAAGAGGATTTGAAGAGATGGGAAGAAGAGAGAAGACAGAAAGAGGAAGACAGGAAGAGGAGAGAGGAGGAGCTCAGAGAGAAAGAGGAGAGGGAACTAAAAAAACTGGTAACCAGTTTACTATGTAATCAAGTACTGTAGTAGGAACACTGAGGTCAAATTCATAATTAGGATTTAGCAATTACATGTATCATCTTTTAAATTTTTAAAAAAAGAATACAGTACTACTGTAAATCACTTTTAATTGCAGCTGTAATTAAAGAACAGCATGCTTGCGAAAATTTAATGCGTAAAAAGTATTCCTTAAGATTATATGAAAATAACCGCAATTCGTGAAAATTTTGTCTTGCTAATCAAGAGTCAATGCCTGTCTCGCAAAATTAAGGTGTCGCGAAAATTTAGTGATGTACAGTATTTCAGAACTGTGACTGGACAAATTTAAGACAGGGCAAAATTGTTTGAAATTTTAAAAGGACAGAATAAAGCAGGGCGAAAATAACTCTGTATTCAGTATATTATGAAAATTCTTTGAAATGATTTTGGTTGAAGAACACATTTAATCAATTTTTATTTTCTAAATTGGTGTGAACATTTGAATGTTGCATTACAGGAGGAAGGTGTTGAATCAGAGAAGTCTGAGGCAGCCAAGAAGGAGCCAGAAATAGACCCTGTGATGAAACAGTACATGGAGATGGTCCAGCAACAAAAGGAAAAGGAGGAGGAAGAGGTGAGAATAGATTGGAGGATCAAAAGGAGTGGGAAAAGTTGTACTTTTATAGTCAATTATAATCAAATCTGGGTTACCGATAGTAATGTGGAGAAATTAAATTTTGCATATTAAAATGTCATTTGGATGGTACAGGTTGAAAATTTTGAAGAATGCTTATATTTTTATATTTAAAAAATCACAAAAATTGGTTTCAGAAAATTTAATGAGATCAATTGATTTTTACATGTTAATGACAAATTCATGTGTAATTTAAAACAGAGAAAAATATCAAAAAGAAAGGTAAAAGTGTGGCTATGCATTCACTATACAAAACATTTGCTTCATAGCACAGTAAAATAATACATCAAAAATCATTTTTCATTCCAGGAAAACATACCTGGTATATCTTGTTTCAAGCTCTAGTACATGTATCATAAATGCTAGCACTAGATATAAATGTACTTTAAAGGTAGAGACTGTGTAATTATTCATTTGAAACAGAAAAAAAAAAACATTGCTTAAGCATGACTATTTGTTTTGTCTAAATTTGTTTGATCTGTGTTATATTTTTCAGTTTCATGACTTATATTTTCATTGTTCACAATTATTGATTATAATAAGACTTTTTATTCACTTTACATACATGTAATTTCACTTTCAGTCATAGTCATTTTAAATAAAAACACAGTTTCATTTAATGATTTTTAAAAAACTCAGTTTTGTTGTTATAGAAACAGCTGTGCAATTAATTTTTGTACAAAATTTTAAAGGGAGAAAACATCTCATTTTTACAAGGAAATGTAAAAAGCTGAAATTGGATTGAAATGGAAAAAGAAGGGATTAATTTTTTGCATTAAAATATACTTAATTCTGATTTTCAGTGAAATATATTCTAAAGCATTGTGAAAATAATTTCATTCTCATGCTTTTCAGATTGCCAAGAAACCAGTGGATGTGTGGTCAAAAGGCTCCAACAGTGTAGCAGTAAGTCTGCCCCCTCCCCCTAACATTCCCCCCCCCCATGACAGGGAGAAAAAATGTGTTAAATTTATGGTTCAAAATTATCTTGTTACTTTAAGGTTGTATAGACTGTAAATGTATTACATTTGGCGGTGTATTCTTTTTAGCATTTTTGGCGGAAAGAAACTTCCGCTAATTTAAGTACAAAGCTAAATGTCTTAAACATATATACATGTACATTAATAAAAACATCAAGATATGCGCTAAATCAAATTTACTCTGACTTGTTCAAAAATAAATTTCCGCCAAATATTGTACATGCTAAATATAATACATTTACAGTACATGCTAAACATCTATCCAAATATTTTGTCAATCTTTAATACTGACCAGTATCTAATATCAGACCAGCAGGATCTCCATATAGAAACAAAAAAATATTTAAAAATGTGTGTTTGGCAGACTGTATTTTTGTGTGAGTACACATTCTTGTATGAATAGTGCTTTAATTTACATTGAAAGAATTATTTAGAATAAGATAATCAATTAAAGTCAAATTAATTGAAATCCAATAGAAAGTGTATTGAATGTTGTTACTATTAAAATAAACTTGACTCAATGGAATACATATTTTACTTTAAGGATACACAGTCTGAATTCTCTGTAGCTGAAGACATTCAGAGGTATATATCTATAAACACAATAGAAAACAAAGAGACTAGTCTTGATTGAATGTACTACTTTGTAAGGGGAAAATACTCTTTGATATAATCACACCCTTGTTTAAGTCAATTTAATATTTAGGTAAACAATGAAGAAATGATATGTTAGACGATCATTATGTAATTGTATACAATGTCATGATGTGTTGATGACATACTATCAGTAAATACATAACTGCATGTGCCAAGAAGCAAATTTGATCCTAGAATTGTATTTTGTTTAAGATTTCTAGCAATACATTTGCACACGTCTGTTTTGTAACTATCAGTAGTTATTAGGGATGTGCGATTTTATCGGTATACCGGTATATCGCGATTTTTTGTTGAGTGATACGTATCGTCATATGGAGACCTAAATACCGGTCTTTAGGTACATATTATAAAGTCCAAAAATTATTCATTTATTTGTTCAATCTTTCAAATTACAATTACAGGAAGTAAAAAAAAATGTTGTAAAAAGTGAAAAGAACGGCCTCTTACCGTCCAAACATAATTGATTTTATATACATAAAAATTTCAGGAAAGTAAAATTTTGTTTTTCTAGCATATTTTTTAGAAAAATAATGACTTTTCATGTAAAATCATTGTAAAAACTGCTTTTAAAAATATCATGATATTATCGTGATATTGAGGGAAAAAATCGTGATATATCGCGATACGAAATTTTTGGCGATACCCATCCCTAGTGGTTATACCTTGTTTGTTTCATTTCCAGCAATAATGGATCTGATGATGATTTCGGTTGGTGATGCCAGTATAAACTCTGACAGGAACCCTTACTATTGGATAATTGTTGGCCATCCATAAACAGTCACTTATCTGTGATAGACTATTCCAATTTTTCTTAGAAAGAATTTGTATAAATATTTTATTTTAAGTTATTGTACATGTAGATTGTTTCCTAATAAAGAATCAAATTAAAAATCCATTTCTTTCTCATTTTTCTTGTTTCTTTGTTAAATACTTGTTCAAAAATTTTCTTATAATTATCTTTTTTGTAAATTTTCTTATGATTATTTTTTTTGTAGCAAATTAAATGTAGCTGATGGCCATAATTTATTACTGTTGATCATCAAATTAATCTGACAAGTTAAATTATGTAAAATCACAAATTTTAATTTTGTGGGGGGTTAATTTTTGTTGTTTTTGAGGTATGAAGAGACCCACGAATTCATGTCCACCACGAAATGTAAAATGCTATATACATAACTACTCAACAATTCTTCATCCACGAAATGAAATCCCCAAAAACCAAGATTTTTTCCTAAAACCACGAAATTTTGACCCCCACGAAAATATGTGATTTTACAGTATTTGGTGATCATGAACAAGCCAAAATTTTCACAAATGCTAGTTTTTGCTGAATATATCCTATGCCAATAAAAATATACGTGAGAATAAAGCTCAGCAATCAACACATTTTGCACTTGTTCTCAGCTGTGTATGGTACAATATCTTATTAAGTTGTACTTCACCTGTACCTTGCCTATAATATATAGGCTTACCTTAGACAATTTCACACCTACATTGTAACTCTTCCTCTGGATAGAACCAATACTGCATGATTGGATGGACAAGTACAGAACTGTATATTATAGCCATAGTGTATTTGTTTGCATTTTGAAATTGTATGTTTTCCAAAATACTTGTAAATTTTTTTTTTTTTTTTTGCGAGTGTGTATCTATTAGTCAAAAACAAAATCAACATACACACATTGGTAATGAATCCATTGCAAGATGGACGGAAAGAGTTTTTCAAAATTCCTCTGTTCCACTGTACAAGTTTGCTGCTTGAATTCAGTTGATTTTTTTTGAAGAAACAAAATTTTATTAGTACATTTTGTTGCTGTGATAATTAAAATATATCTCTGGAATCCTATAAAATGAATTTTCCTCTGCAGATATGGTTGGAGAGGAGTTAAAAAATACACCATGGTTTACCATTTCTTGGAACATTGCTGAAGCAGATATTTATGGTTCTTTCAAAATGATAACAGTTGCCATCTGATTTATTTTTTACTACAATTTCATTTTTGATAGACAAGTTGACCAAAGTACATAATTCTGAAGTCTAGCGTTTCACACTGAAAATATCTTCAGAGTATTTACATCTGTAAGCATGTACCGGGGTAAATAATAAAAACAGAAAATATTTAATAGAAGCAAGTGTTTGAAACATAATTCTTGGACAAGGCATTTGAATTGCAATTCTTGGAGACATTTCCCCTCTATTGAAAAAAAAAGCAAGTTTTCTACCAGACCATTCCATACATGTCCTCCATGTATTTTGAAGTCAACAGCCATTTTACAGACAAAAAGACTCGATGCATAAAATAATACATTTTATTTGAAATTTAAATATCACCTTGATTCCAAAATCAATATCAAAGAGCTGTAATTGTTTTATACATACTATATACATCATCAAGATCACTTACAAATATTACTTCAAGAAAATGTCCGGGGCTAAGGGGAAAAAATAACTACTTTCTGCATAAGAGTGATGAGAATCCAATCGACATGTTTATAATAGAACACAATTTCCACTTTAACCAAATTTCAACACTTATTAAATCACATACTAGTATAAATTGGAGAGTTATTAATATTCCTTCATAATTAAATAGCTGAATAATTCACGAAAAAAATCAAATACAGAGAAATTCTTCTGTTTCTAAGTTAGCAAATCATTGTAGTCTTTAGGCAATCCAAATTCAATGTTTCATTTTCTTCTCCTTGGGTTCTCCTGACTTGGTCTTCAGAATGTTTTGGATTTTCTGCCACTGTCTGTCTAACTCGGCTTTCTCGTCTTTAGGACCTGCCCGCCGAGTTTTCCGTCCATCAGCCATTTTGACACCGTACTGAAAGGCTGCCCTACAAAACAAAATTTAAATGATGCATTACACAAGCATCTAATCAGTAATTTCCTTTCTTTTTCCAACCTTTTGTAAATTTCTGAAATTCACAGTCTTTGAAGCTGCTACAATTACTTCAAACAGTTATCTTGATATATATGTTCATGTAAAATTCTTATATAAGCATGTACATAAAGAATAATACTTAAAAATTTTCATGGACTAAAAGATAATTTTTTAACACTACATGTAAACAAAATGTGGAAAAATTTTTTACATAAAAAAACCATAAGATGCAAGTCACTATGAATCAAACCTGTAAATACTGCAAAATCACAAATATTTGTTGGGATATACATTAAATATCTACAAAACCTTTTCACTTGATAAATGAATGAAATTTTATCTCCATAGAATTTTTTGCTTCTACAGTTCATAAATCAATTTGTAGGAGAATTCCGTACTTTGGTAAAGCTTCCTTGTTGGCCATATAATCACTGTACTCCTCCTGGGTGTCAAAGTCCCATCTCCCCACAGGGCCCTTCTTATTGCCCTGGTCCATCTTACTGAAATCTGCCTCATCATCAGAATCGCCCAGGGCATCATCAGCTTCCTCCATACTACAAAAACAAATATCAAGTCATTGATTTTAAAGTTTGACATACTGCTAAAACAAAAATCATTGATAAAAGGACAAAACAAATTGAAATTTACAATTTTAATACATGCCACAACATGACAATGAGAACCTTTTATGGCTGAACAATTGTTATAAATTTGTGAAACAACATTTATTTGTGACTGTGTTCCTAAACATAAATATATCTGACAATTTATAGATAAAATCCCATCATACCCAGGGTAACACTCAGCGTAACTGTCAATGAGGGTTTTCTGTTGGAGCTTCTCCATCCATCTCTTTTGTTTATCTACCTTCTCTCTGAAAACAGCAAAAACATTATGGCTCATATGGTTCAGTTTGGACTTACGGTAACACACACAATTAATTTTGTTTTCATAAGTTATATGTTACTGTCAAGTGCAGGTATAAATAATGTCTTACTTTTCTCTCTCTTTCTCAACATCAGCAAATCCCTGCAAAAAGAACGATGATACTCAGCTTAACATTACAAATTTTTCGTCAAAATGTTTTTACACAAGTGTTCATTACCATGCCGAGTAATGTACACATAGAAGAAAACATAATGTGGCAAAGAATTTAAATAGAATTACATTGTTAAGATAATCCAATGAAGGCACTCTCCTTCATGAACCAAATGCAAAGTATTTGAAGTTAGTTTCTTTACTCATTATAATTCAATTTAATTGCACAGCAGTAAATTCATATTTAATCCTTCAAATGAATAGATTGTAAAATTATAACTAGGCTTGATATAACTAATAATAAATAGTACAAATATTACACTGCAATTTTGAAACTAAACAAACCTTGAAGCGATCATTAATTGTTTTGACCAAATCCCCTGCTGATCCAGGTCCCTTCATCCTATCATCCTCCTATAAAATAAAGATATAAGAATGTAAAATTCTATTTTACAGAGGCTACACCAAAATTCATTTCTGGGTAAAGAAAAGCTTCACATTTTTAATAATCATTTTAAACACACCTCCTCCACTGGTTTCTCAAAGTATGACTTCCTTTTCCTCTCTTCTCTTCTCTCTCTGTGGCTTTCTCTGTCTCCGTGACGATCCCTGTCTCCATGGCGATCTCTGTCTCTGCCCCTATCTCTCCTATCTCGGTCTCTATCTCTATAGTCCCTGTCTCTATCTCGGTCTCGTCCTCTATCTCGATGATCGTCTCTATCTCGATCCCTATCTCGATCACGCTCCTTTTTGTCTTTCTTGTCTTTAGACTTGGTGTATGATGGCAAGTACTCTCCAGCATCAGCGTAGATACTGAAATCAATGTGCAACATTAATTAATTATAAAAATGTGCAAGTCCTACCTCTTCTTTTCTTCAATAAATGTATTTCACATTGCATGTTTGTGAAGACAAGACCTATAGTAACTATATGATCTCACTAAAACCTTTTACAAATTTCATCGACATTTACCGCTGATAAATAATATAGTCATATGACAGGAATCTTTGTGCACATAAATTATGTATTTAGTATTTCCATTGATTTACTTGCAAGTCATGATAAAGATTAAAGTTGTACTTGAAACATTAAAACCTACATGAGTAATTTCCTCCATCTTTTGACATTTAAGACAAAATACTTGATGTGTACCGGGTAATTTCATAACTTTTTTCCATCTAATTAATTCTAAAAGCATACCTGTCATCAGCTCCAGGTAATTTTTCTTTCAGTTTATCCTCATCCTTGTTTTTCCCTAAAAAAAAAAAAGAAAACATACACAGTATTTCTCTTAAAGTTGAAATCAAATTATATTTCTTCACTTTTCTAACAACAGTTTTTCCTTCAAAGCTTTGTACCTGAATCAAAACAATTTGTAAAAAAATCCAACACCGAGTATCTCTGAGGACTTAGCAGTAGAGAGATCAATACAGACCCTTCTCCTTCTTCTTCAGTTTCTTGCTCTCTCTCCGTCCTTGACGTAGGTACGACAGAATCTGGGTCAGCTTGTTGATGACAATGTCATTGGTGGTCAGGGTTGTGGTGGCCTATATATAAAGGAGGTGGAGAAAACTGAAGATTTCTGGAGGACACACTTTGTAATGAACTAATTTCTGGTATGACTTCTCTGTTTTCTTAAGAATGTAATTATCAGTTTTCCTATCAATTCTTTTACAAGGGCATGGTAAGGATTATTAAAATTAGTAAAAAATATTTACATCGAGACTAGGACAGTCCGCTTTACTGCGAATGGTGGTACAGGGGACATCATTCTCGGCATAATCATCTTCCAGGTCCACCACGTAGGCCATACGTCCCGGTAAGAACAGCTCATTCCTCTCAGGGACCTTACTCTTAAACAATGTTCTGAAGATGTTTCTACCTAAATGAGCAATTATAAAACAAATACATGAAGTTTTGGTATGGATGACTTTTCATTCATAATTGGAGTTTATCATTTATTCATCATTGGAGTTTATGAATTTCAGTCCTTCTCACCCATCTTAGTCTTAAAAATCATTTGATCATCTGGGTCCACCTCTTTATCTTCCCTACAACATTACAGAAGCAACAGAATTATTTAATTTATCAAGTAGATTTTGTACACCAGAAATGAGCTTCATCTCCTTTTCTCAGATTTTAAAAAATTTAAATCTTACTTTTTCTGAGTTACAGCTTCTTCCATCAATATTTCATCTTCCTGTTCTTTATAATTTATTTCTGCTCTCACCTAGTCAAAAGATTATATGTGATAAATAAAAACACAATATAAACTTGTGGAGTTGATTCATCTTTTAACATTCAATATATATTTAATACAAATTTTTTAAATATTAATTAAAGAAGCTAACCTTCTCTAACAAAGCAAAATCCAAGCCTTTCACCAAGTGAGTATGCTCCATGTCACCACCGAGATACTTGGACTCCTGAATAAGCTGTTTACGTTTCTCAGCATAATTATCTCCCCTGAAATGACAATAAGCATAGTTACCCTCACATTTTTCTGGATGCTGCTGCTATGTATGCATTAATTACAGACAAAAGTAAGAATTACTAAGCAAAACTTATTTTCATTCTCACTTCAAGGCTAAATGCAAAATTTTCTTTATGCACAATTATGTCGAGTGCAGTTTACATATGAATCTTTGACGAAAAGTGTAACAAAAAGAATGAATTTTAGAGCAGTACAAAATTTCGTAGATGCAGAACATAAATCTTAACTTACGCCTTGGCATCAGGAGCCACAGCTCGATAATCAGCTGTGGTGCTTATGATCTCAGTTTCAGCGTAGTCTTTGTTTACGCCATCTCTTCTCTCCCTGGCCTAAAAAGATTTTAACATGACTGTATAATCTTTATTCCACACATGAATGATATAGCTGCAAAATCTCTATGAAAATTTATGGTTCTCTTGAAGACCATTGAAAAACATTACAAAGAATTGTTTACCTGTATTTTAAACAGATCAACATGCTCTTTTAACTACTTTTAATTACTCTGTGAAAATTTTATTTATACAAACAAGTCAATTTTAACTGTTAAGTAACAGTAAAAATGTAGTTGACCTTGCTCTGGATAATCTAATTTCAACTCAAATAAAATTCAAATATTCACATCATTTTTTTTTCTAATTTAAACAATGAAAAGTACATACCCTGTCTCTGTATTTGGACTCTAACTCTTTCTGTCTCTCTTCTTCCAGCCTTTTTAGCTTAGCATAGTAACTGTAAAGGAAATATTGAATATGTTTATAATGATCACATTGGTTTCCAATAGTGTAATCTTATATAGATTTATGAAACACTTTATAACATTCAGCAAGTACAAGCGATTGAATTAGTAAACATCATACTTTTGCAGTTAAGTTGGTGAAACCGTCTCTTTTGTGTAATATACATGTATTTTTGAATATGGAGAAGTCAACAAAAAGAAGTTGCTATAAATATACAGGTTTGTATTGTTTCCTTACATTTTCTTTTTCTTTCTTCTGGTGGCTGGATCGTCTTCATCTTCTTCTGGCCTTGGAACACTAATAAAACACATTTACAAAATTTTAATAATACCATATGTAGTTTAGTAAGGATTTGTCACTAAATTAGTCATTTCTACTGTCCTGCAGCACAAAATAACCCACTTCATGATTTCATCTTTTAAGAATTATATTGTTTAATAAGAGGTAACAAGATACATGTATGTGTATTTACTTAAATTTAGCCTATAAAAGGCTAGAATCCAAGTTGGTTTTGCAATTCATGTTATAGCATTGTTATAAGATTATGTATTAATTTTTTTTTTCAGTCAGTGTTCGCAGGACTGGTGATCTACATACACTGAGATGTCCTGAATCTAATGCATAACTGTGATAAGTAAAGTACCGTATTTGGCTGAGTATAATACGCATTGATGTAAAATACGCACCCCCCTTTTTGCCTCTGGAACCGGGGAAAAAACGCAGTTTGGATGTATTATACGCAACAGAAAATTTTACCAAGCGATGTTCTGAACTTTGAAAATCGCGGTAATTTGTAACGAAAATCGGCTCGAAGATTAAGTGTCAAAAATTTACAGAACACACGTTTTTTCAAATACATTTATATTTTTTTCTTAATCTGCAATTTCCATATCGCGGCAATGTGGAGAAAATTATTTATTCATTAATTTCAACAAAGCACAAGATAAGCATACGGTGATTTTGAAATAATACGTCGCCATATAATTCTTTGGTGAAATAATTTTATTTCAACAAAGCATGAGATATTGTTGCAAGTTTTAACAGTTGTCATATCTAATTTTGGTTCTAGGTAATCATGCTGAAAAACGAAATTGAAACATCAACGTATTTTAGAAATTAAGAAGACTACGATTTTTTTCTTCTGAATCGTCGCGGATATTTTATTTTCTACAGAGCATGAATAAATGATAACACTTAGTTTTGGCTTACTTAATATTTAATTTGTTAACTCTCAATTATTTAAACAAGGGTTCGATAAGTATAAGATAAGGTAAAATTATATTTAACAAGTGTTTAATTGTTTAATGTGCCGTAATCAACACATGCTCACACATACGAAAGGTTACAAACCGACCCCCGCTTTTTAACAAAGAAAATAATCAAAGCAATTAAAAGGCTAGTGAAAGTAATCATTGCTATAACTGTAAAAACATTGCTTTGGAGTCGGTAGACAATTAATTGCCTGGAGGGGTGTTGAGAGGTAATTATCAAGTGGCCAGCGCACGTGTGTCACGACATTGGCTTCCTTTCATTGGGACGTATAGAGGGGTGTTTGTGTTGGAGTGAATTTTCACTGAGTTATTTAAAAACTAAAATAAAATTTTTATTTTATTGTATTTCATAAAAAAATCACTTATTATATTGTCAGGCAGATAAGGTGCATATGTACTATGATTACGGAAGCACGTGACAAAGGAATGTGTTAACGTCTTAAAATAGCATCGGTAATGGCGGCCTACACGGAGACGATAAACATGGAGCTCAAATTGATTTAACTTGCATTTTCATGTCATTTTAGCATCAAAATATTATGAAAGTGTTATTTCTAACAAGCATACCTTCCAACAATAACTTTCCAAAGTTTAAAAATGATAATAAACAAAAGAAGTTGTATATGTCTCTTGGTAATACTACGGTATGTACATATGATAGCCGGGTTTCACCTGAAAGAAAAACTTATCAAAATCCCATTGTGATGTAAAATACACATCCCTTTCTCACAGAAATTTATTTTAGGAAAAAAGTGCGTATTGTATTCCCCCAAATACGGTAATTGTAACATATCTTACGCTGCTTTTTTGTGATGTACTGCTTGCTTTGCTGCATGCTGGGCGGCAGATGATGACGATGCTGAACTAGAGGATGGGGCCCGAGGGGTCATCAACATCTTACGGAAATCCTCATTTGTAAGATGTTGCCTAAAAATGTATTGTCATGATTGAATATGTGAAACATTTTGAAAAATTAGTAATACAATTTAGATAACAGAAAAAAGAAATAATGCACTCAGAATAGACAGTTACCATATATGAGTGCCTTATTGATACATATTTAACAGGTCACTAATTGTGTACACATACACTTCAATCATATACTGAAATGTGATCATATTCTGCATCATTGTAAAATTTTATTCCCAAATATGTAAATAACAAAACAGACATTACCCATCATCATCTTCATCATCATCCTCAAAGTCTTGTGGAGGGAGAGGGTTTGAAAACACCTCTGTTTCACCACCTAAAAAATATAGTCATTTTTATCAGTTATTTCACTGGTCATTGAGGTTTTTCATACAACAGTACAACTAACAAGTACATGTACTTGTAAAATCTTGATCAACTAAAAACTAGATGTTATCAATGGTTAGCAATATACAGGTAAACTTCGTTATCTCGACATTGACGGGACAGTCGGAAAATGTCGAGATATCCAAAGTATCGAGATATCAGAGTTGAGACTCGACGTCCTTAATTTTACTGCATAGTAAAACCATAGACCTAAACTGACCAGACGTATATCTACAGGTACCTACATGTCTTCAATTAGACTAGCTTGTTTGTTTCAGATATCCCTCTATATTCATTAGAAAATCTAAGAAGTTATTCACAAATGTTATTTATGAAATGCATTCTTTTTTGTCGAAATCTTCTCATTTTATTAAAAAAACCGTTTTCCATCCAGCATTCGATCCGTGTGCCACTAGCGCTGTCAGAACGGGATACGAAATGCGCTCTATAAACTCCAAACCGGAACGGTACAAAGTCGACTTCCAAGATACGGAAAAAAATTAATGTGTATATTTTTTTAAAAATTATTTCATTTCACTTCTTTTTTATTTCATAATCATTCATCATTAATTTTCATTTCATTTCATTTTCAAACCAAAATTTAATTGGAATTGCGCTTTTAACAAACTTAGTGATCCATATTACGGCTGATGCAATATTCATGCATGTCGTTGATTTGATTGATTCCTGTTGAATGCATTTTTACCACAATTTTTAAGTTAAATTGAATTCAATGTGTAAATTGTTCATTGTTACTCAGTTACTTTTTTATGTAAAATGTTTAAGTTTTGTTAGATTTCGACATTTTTTTGTAAATAAACGGTTGTACATTTACGCAGAATCGAGAAGATTTATCAATGATATTATCCAAGCCGCACATTAAACAATTAATGTATTAGAGACGCCGAGGGGGCTTGGGATTCCTCTACAAACACATTTCTACAGAGCAGTATGTAGTCAAAACATGGGTGTGAAAGATGTGAATTTCTGACGACGTCGAGATACACGGAGTCGTCCGTGCGTGACGAGCGACCAGCTAACAAACAATTAGGTTATGAAGAGCAGGAAATTGCCCCGATGTCGACATATAACAGGTAAATTTTGCTCTTAGGACTGTGAAATACGTCGAGATAAGCGGGGTAGTCGACATTACCTAGGTCGATATATCAGAGTTTTTGCAAATCATTTATATAGTAAATAATGCCGGGACCGCGGACGGACGTCGACATATCCCAGGTTGTCGACATATCCGATGTCGAGATACCGAAGGTTACCTGTATGTGTTTTGAAAATAAAGCAACATGATTATGTTTTATTTTAAAGCAAAACTGAACAAATCTGGCCTCATGATTTAGATCGAATTATACATCTATAGCATTATTATCCGTATTACGTCTTGAAAAAGAAAAATGGCAAGTGCCAGTGCAGCATTTTCTTAGATCTAATATCTAAATATAAATTTTGTGATACTAATTCATATGATGTAAGTTAAGAAATAAAACAGTATGAAGTCTTACAAATAATACTTACGTTCTGGCATTTTAGAAACTGGTAATCTTTGTTGACAAATCTAGTTTTCTTGAGCAAAGCTTCCCAATTTTACAAACCGGAAATGGATTTGCTTTGCGTGTAATAGTTGAATCGAAAACGGATTAGGCATTTCCATTTTTTTTGGCGCCATTTTTCATTTGTTTATGAGGAAAAACCCATGGACAGTGTCACAGGATCAATGAAGAATTGTACTTTGTCGGATAAAGAAAGCAGTAATAGGTGAATGATTATTCAGATGCTCTTATTGTTTAATGCTAAGAATGTATTTTCTCCAGTTTAATTGTAGCTGTTCAGATTGGGATACAACACTACAACAAACCTGTCAAACCTGGGAGAGGATCCAGTATAAAAATTTAAGGGGAGGGGTGAAGGGTGTGGTGGAGTCAAACTTGATGCCTACAAGAAAGAAAGGTAGAGAACATGGGTGGATCCTGGATTTTTTTTTATTTACTAAGGTGGATTGGGTTGTTTCACCCCCCCTCCCCCGGCCCCCCAAGTTTTACAGGATGGATGCTTTTTCTCACTTCATAATTTTCAGGATTCTATATGACATTCTTTAACATTTATTTCATTGCTTTATTAACATGAAAAAATATAATTCAATTTTTGTTTGTTGAAAGATGCTTCTTTAATCAAAACATGTATAGAAGAAATATTAATGACAAAAGAAATCGTGTTTTCAAGCATTTCTGTGACTTAAACTTAAAATAGAAATTATATGTATATTCTTGTTCATTAAGCATTAAAAAAAATTTTAGGGTCGGCACTATAAATTAGGGTCAGTCGGGAAAGCGGAAACAAAGATATTTTTTTTCTAGGCCTTATGCATGCATTATACAAATTATATGTGTTCTTGTTCATTAATTTACTTTTACTTAAAGTAACATTGATAATGGATTCACACTAGCTGTTCTTATATTACACAACAGATAAATTAATTTCCCTATTTGTTGATCATCTTGAAACACTATGTACCCCAGCCCCAGTAGACTTATTCAAGTGTAAATATTATTCTTTGATTTTTTTTTAATTTACAGTAAAAAAAGGAAAGATTATCTTGAGTGGCCAGACTATTTTATGGCAATAGCATTTCTGTCAGCTCAAAGAAGCAAAGACCCTAGGACTCAGGTGATACAATTTATATATAATTATTAATTTTTGTCTCACTTTTAGATGAATTTCAACTTTCAAGATGTTTTTTTTTCTGGATATCAAATTTTGTGTGAGTAATTTTCAATAAGTTAACTTTAATATTTTGAAATTTTTTTTTTTTAGGTTGGAGCATGCATTGTGAATGAAGAGAAGAAAATAGTAGGTATTGGTTATAATGGAATGCCAGTGGGTTGTCATGACGACGTAATGCCATGGGGACGGGAAGCTGACAATATACTGGACACAAAACAATTTTATGGTTAGATTTAATGTTTAATTTGTTGATCTGAATCTCTCTCAAAATTTCATAGATTTGTTGTACTCTATTAGATTTAAAATTATGCATATTTCAGAGATTGTAGTTGTTTTTTTTTAAAATTATGCACTTTATTCATTTACACAGTGTGCCATGCTGAACTCAATGCAGTTCTGAACAAAAACTCGTCTGATGTAAAGAATTGCAGCATCTATGTGGCCCTGTTTCCTTGTAACGAGTGTGCGAAGGTCGTAATACAGTCGGGAATTAAAGAGGTGATTTATTACTCAGACAAATATCACGAGAAACCAGAGTTTGTGGCATCACGAAGAATGCTAGACATGGCAGGTGTTAAGTACAGGTATGATTAAAAATCCAGTTTTTTTGTCATATTTTATATTTAAATTAATGAGCAGATTGCTAGAATGCCTGGCATTATATTTGTTATAATTAACTCCAATAAAAAAAAAACACTGCATTAAAATTTTATAATTTTACCATAAATTAGATATAAAGTTTTAAAGTAAACCTTAGTGCAAGTAAAAGGTGTCTTTGAAGTAAATATCTCAACTTGAGTCAAATATTGTTCCTTTGAGAGTAAATGTCAATTGATTTCTTAAAGATGTTATATCTTCTACATTGCAGACAACACATTCCAAAGAAGAAGCAGGTTACGATAGACTTCACCGCCATTGATGCCATGACAGGAAAGAGTGTGGATGAAGTTTTAAATGGGGACCACACCCACAAATAAGAGCCACACCCACAAATGGAGACCACGTGGTGCTACTGTAACTTTTCTCAAACCAAGGCTAAATTGTGGATAAACTGACAGTGCTTTCATTACATGTGCTTAATAATTCAGACTTTTGTGAGTTCATTGTGTCTGTATGTTGCGAGTTCCGTCTTTAAATAGTCTGTTTTCTACAGAACTAGTGAATCAGAGACACCTAGTCTGAATGGTGCCCAGTTGGCAAGTTATATTAGATATTCCAAATTTGATCTGCTATTTATGTTCTTAAGAATTTGTGATAAACTTTATTCAAAAACCAAAGCCCTTTATCATTCTTTCTGTTTATATAAAACAATATATTTTATGCACCTACTTCAATTATGATGATAAGTTTATTTTGCAATACAATTTCTCACAGCAAATTATTGCCCTGTATTTTGATCTTTGTTATGTGGACGTCAGATGGGTTTGGAGGGCCAAAGACATTTAAGGAGGGAAGAATGTGGCAGTCAGCTGGGTTTCGATCGCCGGTGGCCAGATAGCTCAGTTGGTAGAGCACCTGACCGGAGTTTCAGGGGGCCCAGGTCTGAATCGGGATCCTGGTCCGCTGCATTTTCTCCCCGCCCGTTACGTTTGGTGCTGTGCCATGCCCTGGAATTGACAGTTCAAAGACCTGCCAGGGATGAGCCTGGGTTGGGGTCTTTGGAGGGCCAAAGACCTTTAAGGAGGGAGGAATGTGGCGGTCAGCTGTGTTTTATCGCCGGTGGCTAGATAGCTCAGTTGGTCGAATCACGGTCTTGTCCCCTGCATTTTCTCCTCTCCCGTTACAGTTACAATATATCTTAAATTGACATATCTTAAATTAACAAAGGGTAGAAGATGACAGTTTACATATGTAGAAAAGCCACTATTAGAAATGATGGTTAAGTATAAAAAAAAATTGTTTGTTTGCAGTATGCTGCCTAAAGACTTGCATAAAAAGCACCGAATCAGAGCTATTGTTCTTTTAATTTACCCTTACTTGACAAGTGGGGGTATATACTATATAGTGCTATGGGTGTCTGTCTGTATGCTCCTAACATTCCGGGGTAGCCATCCCTTATCCACAACTCCTCTTTCACCACTGAATGCAATTAAATGAACCTTACTACAAATCGTGATTGCTAGTATTTTTTTCCTCTTATTTTACATCTCTTATCTACAAACTGAGTAAATTTTAATGAGACTAACAGAATATTTAATACACAGTGATATTGCTCACTTCTATTTTATATTCTGATCATAAAGATATTTTTTTTATTTTCCAGAGCAAAAAACACTGCCATTACACTCATACAGAATTGCAAAGCAGGGTGTATCAATTTTGTGAGCTTAGTGCCTTAATTGTCTTTAGTTATGTCCCACAAGGAATACAGCCAAGGCACGTGGAGTGTGTATCATTTCGGTTTTCTGTCTTCCAGCCATCACTCTTGACATGTAGCTTGGTTCCAAAGAAACCATTCAAGATATTTTCATAAAGCTTCCTATGCTGATTGAGTTTAATTGCCCCACCCCTCAGGTCCAAGGGAGGCAGAAACTCAGAATTTTTGTTTTATTTACCCATACATGCAATTTTCGAAAGATTTGATTGTCATGGCTTGTTATACTAGGCATGGCGCTGAAAATGTTCAAAAGTGTTATATAACCGACCTCTACCAATTTTTTTAATTTCATCGCTCCCGGGGGTTTTCCAATGCAGACATTTTCAGAGAGATGGTATTATAATAAACCATTTATGATAAAATAAAATATATAATGAAACTTCCAAAATTTTGGTTCTAGGGTCAGTGGTTTTTTGGGATGGGGTGCACAACTGGTTATAAAGTGGAAGTGCAATTTTTCTGTTAAATTACTCTGATCTACCTCGGAGATTATTATGATAAGCAATGGTGCCTCTATCAAAATTATGAATTTCATGGCCTCTGGTTTAAAACAGTTTATACACAAACCAAATTTAATTGTTGGAAAGTTGTTACATGATACTCAGCTGACCTATAAAGCCCGTGGGCCTCGTTAATGTTTAATACTGCATGGAGAGAATACTATGGCCTGAGTCCTGGCCGTGTAGACGAAGATGATGATATAATCACAACTTACAGTTATTAAAGTACATAATTTGTTTTTCTGTTATTGTTAGGAGCAAAAACGGAGACATAAAAGTTCGTTACAGATGGAAGATTGCAACAATACACTAGGTACTAGATCCTATGTACAAAATGTCAAGGTCGCCAAGTCGTTAACGAACATATTGTACAGCTTCCGCCCGGCTCTTGAGGTTGTTCCGATCCCTTGTGTTTAAATTAATACATGTACGTACTACAACCAAAGTAAGAAGTTTTTATATACATATATTGTTAGCTTTAAAGAAAAAACTTTCTGGATGTGTAGTTAATCAATGAACTTTTTAACAACCTGACTATATAGGTTTGCTTGAGAGAGAGAGAGAAAGAGAGAGAGACGAAGTGTGAGATTTACTTCTTAAAATGTGTTGACGTATTTTCAAACGACATATAACGTACCACATACATTGTAATGTACAAAAACATTTTCTACGAACACTTATAAATTTTACATGAAAAAAAAACCCAGAACATTTATGAAGTAATTAGAACTCTGTCATTTTATATCTCATGTATGTATGTTTTATATGGCACGCCAAATTCACAAAAATGAGCTAAACATAGTTTCACAGTTTATAAACTAGGTTTATCGATTGTAAACTATAATTTACGGACTGTAAACTATAGTTAACAACGTTAATCTATGTTTTTCTGTAAACCATAGTAAACGCGATAAATTATGTTTCAGAACCGTGAACTATACTTAACACTGAAAACAATCATTTCACATTTGCGATTGAAAAAAAGATTATAATTGAGCATTAGACTTCAATTTTACCGAGAATTTTTCTGGAGTTATTTCTCTTTGCATTGTAATTTCATCACACATGTATTGGAGATGGTTTCTAGAAGTTGGTGATATCATTGAAAGCGTGTCATGTGTGAATTTCATCATATTGGAGATGGTTTCTAGATTTGTGGAATGAAACATATTCCTCGTTTATTTCATTACGGGAAATGGTTTCAAGATGTGTGGAATGAAACATATTCCTCGTTTATTTCATAACAAAGGATATGGTTTCTAGATTGATTGAATGATTAATTGTATACTGTTTAACGTCCCTCTCCAGAAAATTTCACTGATTTCATAACAAAGGAGACTTACGGCCTTTGGTTTCGTGCCACATTTGTATGTCTCAACGAAACTTAGTCGCCTTTTACGACAAGCAAGGGGGTTCATTTCATTACGGGAAATGGTTTCAAGATGTGTGGAATGAAACATATTCCTCGTTTATTTCATTACAGGAAATGGTTTCTAGATGTGTGGAATGAAACATATTCCTCGTTTATTTCATAACAAAGGAGATGGTTTCTAGATTTGTTGAACGAAACTTATTCCTCGTTTATTTCATCATACATGTATTGGAGATGGTTTCTAGAAGTTGGTGATATCATTGAAAGCGTGCCTTGTGTGAATTTCATCATATTGGAGATGGTTTCTAGATGTGTGAAATGAAACATGTTCCTCGTTAATTCATTACGGGATACGGTTTCTAGATGTGTTTATTTCGTTTATTTTAACAAAGGAAACAGGAAATGGTCAATTTTTCGGGAAATGGTTTTTAGATGTGTGGAATGAAACATATTCCTCGTTTATTTCATAACAAAGGAAGGAGATCGTTTATTTCATCATACATGTATTGGAGATGGTTTCTAGAAGTTGGTGATATCATTGAAAGCGTGCCATGTGTGAATTTCATCATATTGGAGATGGTTTCTAGATTTGTGGAATGAAACATATTCCTCGTTTATTTTATTACGGGATATGGTTTTTAGATTTGTGGATTGAAACATATTCCTCGTTTATTTCATAACAAAGGATATGGTTTCTAGATGTGTGGAATGAAACATGTTCCTCGTTAATTTCATTACGGGAAATGGTTTCTAGATGTGTGGAATGAAACATATTCCTCGTTAATTTCATTACAAAGGATATGGTTTCTAGATGTGTGGAATGAAACATATTCCTCGTTTATTTCAAAACTAGGGAGATGGTTTTATTGAATGAAACTTATTCCTCGTTTATGGAACAAAGGATATCATGAAAGCGTGCCTTGTGTGAATTTCATCATATTGGAGATGGTTTCTAGATTTGTGGAATGAAACATATTCCTCATTTATTTTATAATAACGGTGATGCTTTCTAGATTTGTAGAATGAAACATATTCTTCATTCATTTTATAATAAAGGTGATGGTTTCTAGATTTTAGGTATGAAAGATATTCAAATATCATAACAAAGGAGATGGCTTCTAGATTTGTGGAATGAAACATATTCCTCATTTATTTTTAAAATATTTTCTTTAGGATTAGGGTTAATATTTACTATTTGTTTTCTCTATGAAAACTCTTATAACGTTATTGGAGTTGATTTCTTGATAATGCTACAGGAATGTAAATAAGGCAAACGATAGGTCAGGAGCTAAGGAGGCTAAATATGCATGTAAATCTCGTGCAGCTGTCTAAATGTGTTTGACGACAGCTAGTGGGCGAGGACTAATGAAATTGACATTGGAGTAATTCAAATGTATTGGTCTACATTTTAAAAATCTAAATCTACAATTTTTTTCACAATTAAATGGAAATATAAGGAATCACTGTCTAGCTAGTATAGTGCCAGGGACATAACAGATAGTGGGAAACGTGGGATAATTTATGCATAATGGGTTTCGCCCGTTATGCAAATCATCCCACGTTTCCCACTATCGTTGATGCCCTGGCATACTGTACTATAATAGACAGTAATTCCTTAAATAACGAATATGGCTGCTAGATTTGTAGAACGAAACTTATTCCTAATTTATTTCATAACAAAGGAGATGGTTTCTAGATTTGTGGAATGAAACGGAGATGTTTGCTAAATGTCCAGAACTTCAACACTCAGTAACTTAGTTTGTAAATAAAACAAGATGTATTCGTGAAAAAGAGATGCCCTTGCATGGTAGCTTATGGCAAAGGATGAAATATATCAAATGTAAGTCAAAAGTTCAAGGTAAAAATATACTTAAAAATGCTGTTACTCTAAGAAAAGACTTCTTTTGAATACGAATGCCATAAGCACAAACCTTTCAAAGGCTAAGTTTGAGGATTATTAAAAGTGGGTCTAACTCCAATGTCATGGTCAAAGGTTCAAATTAATGGTACCTAAGGAAGCCTTTATCAAAAGAAAAAAACACAGCATGATAATTTTTTCCTTCGTTACATCAGGACTGGAACCATTAAATTTACAGATTCCCCTCTTCATCCTTCGATGCTGCATAATAATTAATATTAAAGTAATGCTGCGTATTAAGTGAAATTGACATTGTTTGGATAGGTTGAAATAACTCTAGGGTTGTTCTTACATCAATGGCTTCAAATTCAAATGTAGTGATAATACCATGCACTCAACACTTAGCTTGCTTATTGCAGGAAGCCATTATCATCATGACGGTTGACCAACTTGAACGTTCTTGACATTATACTTTTAGGAGCAATAAATAATTTACGGTAGGTCTTTCGTATTTGGGTATTTAAATCTTATTCTATATTTAAAAGCAACGAAGCAAAAGAAAGAGTTACCCTCAACGCAAGGTTTCGATCGTGAATGGCTCACGTGCACATAGATCATTGAAGATCAACACTTCCGCCTCCTTGTAAATCTGGATGTCACAAAGTAAAGGTAAATAAGAATGCTATTCTTTTGTATATTTCATATCGATCATTACATGGCACCATAGAATGAGAAAGAAATTTACATACAAGAAGTGATTTTGAATATATGATTACATTCTGTCAGTCAATTTACATCCTGGCAGGTTTAATATGTGGATTTATGTTCCCGAGGAGATACTGTATTCCAGTTTGTGTTATAAAAACACAGGCCAATGAAAGAATGCACGCATGTTCACAACCGATTGAAAAACAAGACAAAATAGTTCAACAAAAACGGAATCAAGTAACCGATTTAAATTCTAGGTGAGGTATTGATCTATTAATCTTTCCAGATGCCCCTGAACATTTGGGCAACAAAAGGACGGGTTACATAGGCTGGGACGAGTACTTTATGAGAGTGGCCTTAATTTCAGCAGAAAGAAGCAAAGACCCCGTAACACAGGTTTACTATTCACAATCTTTTTTCTATATAATATCGATTTGCAAAATGAAGGAAAATACTCAACAAAATAACGTCAGTCTAGTACATGTATATACTTATATCCTGTGTCGTTAGCTGAAGAAATTTCAAGTCAATATATACCTGTTTAGCACACTTTAATAGTTATAACGCTTTCCCTAACATACAACCAAATATTTACCAAATCAATGTAAAATATCTTACATAAAATAACCTTTGTTTTACACTTGCTTTATTGAAGGTTGGTGCCTGCATTGTTAACCAAGATAACAGAATCGTAGGGATAGGTTACAATGGAATGCCCAATGGCTGTAGTGACGACGAAATGCCCTGGGGTAAAGGTTTCAAGGACCCTCTCCATAATAAAAAGTTATTCGGTAGGTACTAACCATAAACCATAACCATTTGATATTAAATACGTCTTACTTCAATGTTGGTAGCATATGATAGTAATGGTATGGTTTTCATACAAGTATCATTCAAGTTAATACTTTCATGTCCGAGACTACAAATAAGGTAATACCCCCATAAAGCGTTATGCTCATTAATTATGCAAACTAATACGCGAGTAAATTGATTTATCATATACAAAACAGAATACTAAGTAAATGAAATAAATAAATAGATAAATGAATAAAGTAAAATGATACATGTAATTAAAAAAACTAGACAGCTATTTAATATCTACAAGTGTATAATTAATTTCCTCAACTAATGTTGCTCTGGACACTAGAACTACATGTATACCTCCTGATATACTTTCAGTGTGTCATGCCGAAATGAATGCCATCGTGAACAAATTGTCCGCGGACATCAGGGGTTGTACAATATATGTAACATTGTTTCCCTGTAACAATTGTGCCAAAATCATAATACAGAGTCGTATAAGAGAAGTTGTGTATTATGACGACAAGAATCTCCACAAAGACGAAGCCAAAGCATCGGTATACATGTTCCAGAAAGCCGGGATTATTGTCAGGTATCAACAGAACTTTCTTTGACCGTGTTTAATGTATAACCATGGAATTCAATATCATTATTTTACCCCCCCCCTTCTCTTAAAAAGTGGGAGGCATCTAGAGATAGGGAGTCCATCCGAGCAGCCCTCCTACTGTTATGTTTCGGGATAGCCATCCCTTACTCGCAATATTCTTACACCACTAAATCCAATTTATTAAAAGAATTCACAAAATATACACAACTTAGTGCCATTTCTCAGATCCTATTTAATGTTTTAATTTTACAGACATTTGGGGTTTCCTCTTACAAAACATCGATTTGTTATTCATTGAACGATTGGGAATTGCCATCCTTATCCACAACTCATCTTACAACGAATGTTTTTGTGAATGAATGCAATTTTAAAGTCATTTGCTCTACTGGTCAGAGACCAGAAGAGCTTAAGCGATAATATATCTGTTTTTGATTTCGATGAACGGTGTTGCCGTGGTTACTAAAAATAGAAATTTGTGTGAAATACTTTCAAATACTTTCAAAATGCCACTCCAAATACAGTTTTAGTCTGATTATAGTATAATTTGACATGCAAGTATACTACACTGAAATACATAATTATTACTTTTGTGTTTTTGATTTTGATGATTGATGTTGTCATGGTAACTAAAATTGAAAATTCTGTAAAATTTTATTAAAAACTATTCGTACATCTGTAGTATTATTGCAATCTTGCCACACAAAGAGACAATCAACACTGTAAAAAATAACTAGTTAATGTCACGAAGAAAACTAGTAGATTCACTGTCCATACAATCACTACCTTAATAGAAGTTTTACCAGATATTTGGTATATTTACCAGATAAGATTAGTAAATTTAGAATTGATGAGTAACTTTCACTAGGTATCTAAGTATCTATACGACCCCCGCTCCACAACTCGCTATCTTAACCAGTAAACTGAAAGTTTACTAATCACGACCAACGCTTTACGAAACACACTAGTTAAATTCACTAGGTTTTTCTTTCAGTGAAGGATCATTATTCTAATTGTTGCTTTTGTAAAGTATTAAATCCCAACAGTGAACTGCTACGTAACTTTTCTCTTCCTTTATTATAAGTACAAACCAGTAGAGCCACAGTATCGAGAGAGACTTCTAGTTTTTACATTATTTTCATTATAGTTATTTACCATAACCCTACTTTTTTTAAGTTTACATTGAAAAGAAAGCGTTATGTGCCCCTTGTCGTGATTGGGAAAGAACGAAAAAATCCGTCGACAATTCAGTGTGTTAATAATGGTCTGACAATTAATTTGGAAAACGTAGTCAGCATTTAACTTGATGATAGAGTGTATTTGCTGACAGTGTCATTGTATCGAGAACAGAACTTACAAGATAATGACTATAAACGATTCTTATTTCATTAACGTGTTTGTCAATAACTTGTCAATAACTTACCTTGTTTTAAAAAATAATACTGTTCATATGTAGAGCCTGTTCTTGCATATCAAATCAACTAAGGAGATATAAGCCCCTTAGGCAGGTGATGAAGGTATATTGCTACATAAGTGGGGAAAGTTAATGAATGAAAAGGTAAATTCATAAGGTTTATCATAAAGCTTTGCTCTTAGAATACCATTGTCGTCTTTTTCAAGAAAAATATCCAAAAATGGAACAGATGCGTCAGACTCTGTTCTTTTAGACTCTTTTGGAATCTTTTATTTCAAGCTCACTGGGATAAATTGTATCGATATAAGACTGGAAAATTAGAAACATGAATATGCCTTTCCTGTAACCCCTAAGGAAAACCATAATTTATCTGCAACTCCATTTACATTAATAGGCCCGTAGGAAACAATATCAGTTCGGGGGGGGGGGGGGGCACAGCCATACGTTTTCGGTTGGGTGTACTATCCACTACCAAAACGTCCATGACAAGCAAAAACAAAAAAGAAGTTTTTATTGAGGGGGGCAAGCTTATATCAGCTATGTTTATCAATTTGTGAGCTCAGTGCTCACAGTGCCTCATGTTTATTAAAGAAAATGATTCCTTCTCTTCTCCCCCTTCCCTTTTTGTTATGATACTACATATATTTCTATATGTTTTGATACTAGTTTTCTTTCATTACAGGCGCTATATACCATCGGGAAATGGACATCTGAAAAGTAAACTTTGACAGAGACAAAAGATAACAGATATCTGGCAAAAACTTATAAGCGGCAAAAGAGAGCCCAATGGCCTAAAGACATATAATTTATTTGTGACTTACCAGTAAATTGAGGATCCATAAGAGATTAACAGTTTTTGTACGATGTTGAAAGTGATAAGATCAATTTTTTTGGCGTTGTGCCTTGTAAAGTAACAAATACTGAATGGTTTGTTGAAGTACAGTTCTGTGTGAAAGTAGCTACACAAGTCTTTGATTCAGCATGAATATTGCTAATGATTGAAAAGGGGCTCTGGCCAGGTTTTTAAAGGGTGCATAGTGCGAGAGAGGGTTTAAGAAATGCCCTTTTCCAGTTTTGTTTTCAATATAAACGGAAAACTTTTTGAATTACCTAGGATGGTTAAATATTAATTTGTGAACGTATCCCTTATTCTCATTCCTGCTTTGATTTAATACACTTGGAGTATTCAGTTGAACTAGAATTAAAAGATACCAAGGATTCGGACACTTCTGTTTCATAATTAGATGATTTACTAGAAGAAACATTAATGATAATCTACTCTTAAACAAAACTTTGACGATAAACGTAATGAGTTTGAATGCATTTTCTATTGCCTCCTTCATTTTAGTAACAAAATACTAAATTATATATTATACTTTCATGTAAATTACTTGAATCTGATTCGTCGAGAAACATTTGATAAAAAACACTACTACCCGCTGAATAATGAAGCCACGCCCTCCTGCGTAGCAACAGTCAACATTGCTTGACGACGGGTGGTATTACAAAAAATAGCGACTGCGCGGAATTTATGCGCGCACGGTTTACTGTAATATGTATTTGTATAAAACATTCAGTATAATATAATAAATATTGCATGTAGTTGAGTGTAGCATTGAAAAATTTCACTCCTGGAAAACCATTGTCAACCTCGTCTGCGCCTCGATTGACAATGGATTTCCTGGGGTGAAAATTTTCAATGTTACACTCAACTACATGCAACATTTATATATTATCACCTTCCCATGGAGTTGATTTGATATGCAAAAGTGTGATATACACATGAACAATTTCTAAAATGATGAAAGCTATCGAGTACGCGTAGTAGTTGAGACAAGGATATCAAAGAGTTTCGATAAAAGCAATCATTTAGCTATTCTATAGTCGAAACGACCTTGTTAGCTAATACAGTCTATCATAATGATAGTCAAATGTTGACTGATGTTTTGCATACAAATTATTAAGCTATTGTATTCACATTGAAGTGTCTACGGAGTTTACCGTTTGTCCAATCACGATAATCAGCACATGGTGGGTAAGACCGATCGACAGGGATTGCTTGCATCTACCTGTCACCTCATCAGGCCTCTGATGTTATAGAGGTTTGTATTTGCTCTGCTCCCATTCTGTATTTTTTTGTGGAGCTTCTTGATTGATAAATCTTCATATTTGTCTCAAAACCATATTTTTCGATTTTTTTTAAGGGGTTTCGATCATACACTCTCTCTTGACTGTTATTACATAGGCTACAAGATGGTGAAAGATTGGCTCAATTTCCCTGTTTTCATGTACTTGCCACATTGGGAATTTCATTCGGAAAACAGAACATTTTTTTTTCATACAAAACGAATTTTACACTTTGTACCAAAAATCCATAAGCATATAGCTTTGACGAACTAGCATCTTTGTAGGAATACGAGTCTAAGTGTAAAATGTACGTTTTTTTTTTTTACTTTTTAAAAAACTCATTATAAACACACTTCAACGTTAAAGCCAAATTCGTTTTCACTGTGAATTGAATTTCTTCCTCTGAACTAGCTGCAAACTGTTGTGTTATGTATTTATATATTAGTTTTTTACCGTAACGCTACAAATTCCGTATTGCAAAAATGTGCAATTGATGGTGCAATATTTTTTGCGCACTACTGGGGAGAATTTCTCCACTATCCAGCAATGGTTAGCCAACTGCCTCCTTACTTATCTTCCAACCCTAAGGCTTTATATTCGTTTCTACAGGTGATAAACTATGAATAGCTTGATTTGAATTGTCTGTCAGATTTCAGAAAAATTCAAATCAAGGCTGAAACTATAATGGGTTAGGACTTCGGAGGTATATAAAATATACAGATTGGTTAAAGAATGTGTTTAAAACTAAGAAGTGAAAGGTAGTTGACTGACCATTGCTGGATAGTGGAGAAATTCTCCCTAACAATGCGCAATAATTCATGCAACATAAACTGCACATTTTTTGCATTACGGGATTTGTAGCGTTATGGTCAAATTCATACTGGGCTTAGTAGATACATAACCCTTAACGCTACAGTTCTGTAGCTACCTCTACACTTGTTGTGAAGTACAGTTTTAAAATCATTGAATGACGGGCATTTAAAAAAACAGATGATTTTATCAAATAAAATGTGTGCCGCTTTAAAAATACAAAGAAGCAACTTCCTCACGTTACAAGTATGTTGTGTACATGTAAATCAAGTCCCCACAGGTAGATAAAGTTTAAGGTCATTTTATTGATATTACATGTACTTTCGTTTTAGTTTATATCTAAGGTAAGAATTTTGTTTTTTCAAAAGCTAACTTCATTTGGTCATATCAAATAATCGTATTAAAATTTTTACCAAATACTGATTTCTGAATACTTTCTAAAGCCTGTGTTGGTTTACGTTTTAATCGAGAAAGGGGAGGTTACATACATTCATTACGTATGAAGATAGTCAAGTTTTGCTTTGAAAATAACTTTTATTGACGTAAAACATTATTATGCTATAAAAATTCAATTCGTATAGATGGCTTCGAGAGAAAAGGGAGAAAACATGTTAATGGTAGCAGCCATAGACTTTGGAACAACATACTCGGGATATGCTTATGGAATGCGACATGAACTAGAGGAAGATCCTCCACAATTATTTTGTCCACATTGGCAAGGGAGAGGGAGTATCATCTCATTTAAAGCCCCTACAACTGTCCTGCTGGATGAGAACAAAGAGTTTGTCGCCTTTGGATACGATGCTGAGGACCAATATGCAGATCTCGCAGAAGAAGAGAAACACGAAGATCATTTTTATTTTTATCGATTCAAAATGATGCTCTATGAAAAAGTTCGCCGAGGGGTTTGTAATGTTAAAATATATTTTTAACTTCAATTAGGTAATAATTTTAAGGATGAATTTAGTTTTTTTTTCTCCAACAGGAAATAGTTTATTCCCATTACCCCAACATTAAACGTACTCATCCAGTACTGTTGGATCTTATGTTTATCATAAAACATAAAATATATCAGAGATAAAAAATTGCTGTGGCCTTCAACTCAACATTTAGATTCTAGTATATCGACGACGTATTGTCAATTAACAATTCCTATGTCTATACGATATACCCTGTTGAACGTGAGGTAAAAAATACCACAGAGTTTGTTTGATACTTGGATATTTTACTTGAAGAAGATGTTAATGGTAATTTAACAACCAAGCTCTATGATAAACGTGATGACTTTAACTTTTCTATCGTCAACCTTATTTATGCAGCAATATACCGTCATCACCTGCATATGGAGTTTATATATCTCAGTTGATTCGATACGCAAGAGCCAAGCTCTACGCATGAACAATTTTTAAAACGAGGTAAATTATTGACAAACAAGTTAATGAAACAAGAATATCAGCAGTCTCGTTTAAAGTCATTATTTCGTAAGTTTTATGGTCGATATAACGACCTTGTTAGCAAATACTAGTATACAATTTATCATTGAGTCAAATGCTGACTGACGATTTTCATACTAATTGTTAGTCCATTATTCATACACTGAATTGACGACGGATTTTTGCGTTATTTCCCGATCATTACAAGGAGCACACGGCGCGTGTGACCGGTCGGCATGGGATGCTCATTCCTTAATGCCACCTGATCCATCTCCGATGTTTTGGAGGTCCTTGTTTGCACTGCTCCTATTTTGTATTGTCTAAAGGACTTTTGATCTTTAATACTGTTCGTTATCTCCATATGTTTCATGTACTAATACAGTGATATGTATTTTAATTTCCTTCGGAGATAATGCGTTCATTGCAGTTGCTTTCCTGAAATTGAAAACATGCATGTCAATAAAGCTAAATCTATAAATTGCAATATCATTTTACAGAAACTACCACCCAAGTTACTTTATTGATCAAACTTGCAAACAAGTACCTACGTAGTATTTTGTATAATAATGCACGTTATGACAGAAATGAAAAATGAATGACCATTTTTTTTCTTCAAAAATTGCAATACTTTTTTTCCAGCGACTAACGATGAACACAACCGTTCCAGACATTTTAAATCGAGAAGTACCTGCTGTAGAGATTTTTACACACGCCATACATTACTTAAAAGAACACCTTTTAAAAGATGTGAAACAGAGAGCAGCCCATGAAGTTGAGGAGACAGATATCCTATGGCTGGTTACTGTTCCCGCAATTTGGGACGATCCTGCTAAACAATTCATGAGACAGGCCGCAGAAAAGGTGAATAATACCCATAGTTCTATAATGTCTATACTAGTGTATATATATTATATATATAAACAAAAAGTATTTTTAAGAATTCTAAAGAATGATAAAAAGCACTTAACAGGTCTGGACGATTTCTAAATATGGAAGTCAAGAACGATAACCGAAAGTTGCTATAAATGTACATCAAGTACACGTAATTATTTTTCTGTCCAATCAGACAACTGCATTTTTACACACCCCAAAGAACAAAAAGTTATTACGTGCTTTTGTTTTTTTTCCTCAAAAAGATTTTTTAAACAAAAAATTTGTAGAAGTAAGATGAAAACTTTTGAAGAATAAGGTATTCCCAACATTTTTACCGTGAACAACCTTGACATTTTTATCTCGGTAAAGAAAAAAAAAATAATTCACGATAGAATGTAATCGTTTACAGAGGTATAGATCGCAACAACAAGTTTTTATCAAGTTCAATTATAACATTTACCAGAATATACTATATGTTTATAAAATATAATTTTACTTAGCCACCCGATTTTCATCATTGATGCTTAAATTCCATGTGTATATAGATCAACTCACACAAGTGTTTATCGTATGGACTATACACATATATACTGACACGCAAAAGAAACGCAACAAGCAGTAATCTACAATTTTTTGATTTTTTTATCTTAAGACTTTCAAAAATGAATACAGTTAGGCTAAACTCACTTTTCAGAACATCAGAGATTTGATAAAAATGTTAAATGTTTATTTTTTTACTTTACTAAGTAACACATGACTGTTAAAACACCCCCCTCCCAGCCATTCAAGTAAAACGTGCAAGACTGCCCTAAACAACAATTGCAGCTTAATTTCTACGATACAATAGGTTCATCAATATTGAGATCTTAGCGAAGGAATTATTCTTTGTCATTTTTAAATGCACGTTTTTCAGATGATTAGGTCGAATTTTCTCTAACTTAGAGCAGTGTAGTCAACCCCTGGACTTCCGGTACAAGGACTGTCCTCAGTGAATATGATACGTAAGACCCTTTTGAGACGTTTGTTTTAAATTTTTGAATCAGCAACTCTCCATCACCTTTAAATTGAAATTTTCCAGCTAGAGCAATGGAAATGCGTACTTAAGCCATTTTCAAGAAGCCTTAGCATCGTTACAGGAAACGAAAGGAGAGTTTATTTTTTGAAATATTGCTGCATTACTTGTGATGAACAGTTAAAACCCTTAAAACTCCATAATATTGCCAAATATTTTGTTAAACTTGCAATTTTTGATTTTTGTTAAGCAGACTCAAACTTGACTTCCGGTTATGGTATGAAAATCGTTCAACCATTAAATTACCAATGTTTACCAAAGTGAAGATATCCATAATTTTAAGATACAATTTTTTTTGCTTTACATAATTATTTCCCCCTAAAGTAGGATGTTGCGTTTCTTTTGCGTGTCAGTATAGTTTTAAACTATCACGGGTTTCATGAGCGCCGAATACTTAGCTATGCAGACTTTAAATGGGCATAAGGAAAGGCGTATAACGTGGAGAAAAGAGAATCTGTAATTATACATGAATGCGTTTTATCCCAATATCTTACATGTACCTCGCATATATCAGAAACTGCATGGACTATTCTGTAATAAACATTCAAAAATGATAAAGACTGATATCTTTTCGATAAGAATTTTATGCCAGGCTCTAAAAACTGAAAATTTACCGTATTTATATCAATTTTTTAACGTAAGTTAAACTTTTGGGATTGCTACCTCCTAGAGACAGATTTTTTTATCCCACTTAAAACGTATTCTAAGCTTTCAAGTCGTGTTTGTTCACGGTAGAATTGTCATAAATATTATATTATTCCCAAATGCGCATAAAGTTTACAAAAAGTTTGTTCTAAAAAAAATCTTTTGAGCAAAAAACTTAAAAACCACGTGTTTTATTTATTTTCTCATGGGTTAGTCTAAATGCTGTTATCTGATTGGTCAGACTGGTTAGTGTCTTGTTTATTCCGTGTATTAATAGCAATTCACAGTTATCGTTCTTGACTGCCTTATTTAGAAATCGTCCAGACGACCTACTTAAGGATAATGATAACGCATTATCAGGCAGGTATAGACAGAGACAAACTACGAATCGCACTAGAACCAGAGGCGGCTTCCATTTGGTGCAAGCATTTACCTGTGGAAAAACTCAAAGGAAGTGATAACAGAATAGACTCTTTTCAAGTGGGCAGCAAATATCTCGTTCTGGACGCAGGAGGTTTGTTCTTTGACAGTCTAATTAGATTGGTTCTTTGAGGGGTAGAAAAATTTAATTGTAAATCTTTATTTAGTAAATAATTCAAATAAGTAATTGATACATGTGTATTTTTCATCTTCATAGAAGAATATCTTGCATCTATAACTCCCCGTCTGTCCCTTTCTATATTCTGTTAGCTCCATCCTTTACCTCTTGTATTTTTTCTCCACGTTAACCCATTCACCTTCTTTCTCCATCACATTTCTTCTTTTTTGATAGACAAAGTTTTCTGCAGTGTATTTCCATTTTACATTTGCTGTTCCATAAGTTCCCTGTAATTCATATACTAGTATTTGTTCATCTCTTTATCCATACACATGATGTGTTTTTTGTATTCTTTTGTATATGTTTATTCGATTTTAACCCATTGAGCCAGGGAAAACACTAGCCACTAAAATCACAAGCTCTAGAAGTGCCAGAGAAGGCTAAGTATCCCAATGAAAACCGGTTTTACTAAGAGATGGGTACCCTTCAAGACTTTAGAAATAATGGCAGTGTCAATGTTTTACTATTGGAAACTCGAAACATGTGGCAGATCAAAATGTAAAATAAAATGTGAACAATGGCAATATGTGACTAGAAAGTCTGCTATTGCAAGCAGTAGCTTATGTCGCCCCGAACTGAACAAGACTGTCATTTTTTTCGTCACTAAAACAATACCCATTAGGTAAGCTTGGACAACCATCAACTCGTATCAGTACTTTCAGTACTTTGATTTAAAAATCCAAGTTAAAGAATTTTCACTTTTCCCATGTTTCCATGGAAACTATTGATAATTTCTAATTTTTAAATCCAATGAGCACAATTACAGATACTAATCATTACATCAATAAAATTTCATGAAGAATGTTCAAGGGACCAGAGAGAACACTTGCGGACAAAATTTGTCGCTTTTTGCAGGTTTCCATGGCAAAGGTAGCCAATTTGAAACTGAATGACCACACAACACAACTACAACCAGCGATCCTCCTTTAAGGAAAGTTTCAGGAAGATTGTCCCAGCCATATCCGAGAAACAGCTTGTACAACAAAAATCGCAATATGTCGTCCCCGACTTCGTTCGGGACGACATAATAAAGATTCTGTGAAAGTTTCAATCAGTGGTATAAGAGGAGTTGCGGATAAGAGATGGGTACCCTAAAGCGTAACAGACGGACGGACGTACAGAGGGACATTCTAATTATTATATACCTTCACTCTTTTCAAGCGTGGGGTATAATAATGACCTAACAATTTGTATGGAGAATGTCATTCAGCGCTTGACATTAAGAGGAAATGAATGTAATAAACTTGTTTTTTTTTATCGACCATATAATTCGCTAAATGTTGACTTTAAACGACAGTGTTTAGTGCCCTTGATTAATCAACTTATTTGTCAGTATTCTGTCTTGGTTTAGAAAGTGCTCGTCTGCAGAACATGCCTTTGCGTATCAAATTAGAAACAAAAACAATGTGAAGATGACGCGGGTATATATCGGTATACTGCTTCATATAACAGGGGAAGTAGGCGATAGGGAAGTTGAAGTAATTACTTTTTCATATAATTATAAGTTAAGTAGTTAGTTTGCCATCAATACATTTCTGTAGTAAAACGACCAATTGATATAGATTGAATATGTCTGTAACTGTGGTGTCCATTATTTTGAGTTTAGTAGGATATATAGAATCAATATATGACTAAAAATAAGTACGTCGTCTATAAACAGCATAAATCTCGAACGAAAGGCTAAAGTAAGGACTTGTTTTAGAATAAATCGGCAAACGCAACATTGAAACCATCTTTACATTTGTTGATGAAGACAATATAGCATTTTACATGTAGATTTTTTTGAATCTTTAGATTGTTTTACTGTTCTATACAAGTGATTCTTTTAAACCGATGTACTCTATTCGTAGGTGGTACAGTTGACATAACTATTCATGAGGTAAAAGACGGCGGAAAGATCCGAGAATTGGCGAAGGCCAGTGGTGGTGACTGGGGTGGAATCAACGTTGATAACGCTTTTAAGGCCGCACTGGTACATATTGTTGGAGAAACCTTGATGGAGGAGTTTCGTCATGAATGTACGGCCGACTACATCGAGTTATTCAGGGACTTTGAAATAAAAAAGAGAAAAACTAACGAAAGCAACGACGTCTTTGTCACTTTGAAAATACCACTAAGTTTCGTAGACATGTGTGGAAACCTGAAGGGAATGATTTCATCTTCCAAATACAACGGGGAAATAAGGCTAGAATCAGATAAATTAAGAATAAGCCGTTCGACTTTTGATGGGTTTTTTAAACCCACTTGCGACAAAGTTGTTGACCACGTAAGAGAACTTCTGGGTTCACAGAGGGCAAGAGGCGTAGACTTCATCCTCATGGTGGGTGGATTTTCAGAGTCACAGGTCTTGCAAGATGCAATAAAAGGAGCCTTCTGTTCAAACTATCGTGTCATAATACCTCAGGAAGCAGGACTGGCTGTGCTAAAGGGTGCTGTGCTTTTCGGCAAGAACCCAACCATCATCGACTGTCGAATTGCTCAAAGAACGTACGGAATTGCTTCTTCTACAACTTTCAACCCGGAAATACACAGAGAAGCAAAGAAGTTCAGAGTAAATGGCGTGGACAAATGCGACGGCCTTTTCAGCAGGCATGTAAAGAAAAACGATGAACTGAAGCTGAACGTAGCACAAGCAGAAAAGACATATACCCCTCTAAAATCTAACCAAACGAGTATGCGGATTTCCTTGTATAAATCAGAAAACGATAACCCCATGTATATAGATGATCCAGGATGCAAATATCTAGGAAGTTATGATGTCGATATGCAAGACACTACTGGCGGATTAGACAGAAAAGTCAAGGTTAGCTTGCTCTTTGGGGACACTGAAATAGAGGTTCAGTCTTTGGTTGTAAGGACCGGTGATAAAACGTCAAGACAATTTGAGTTTCTTGAAGATGAACCTTAAATGTTTTTTCCTGAAGTTTGAAGGACAAGTGTGTTGACATTATTTATTTACCACTTGTAAATTTAAATTACTAATATAACAAATCTTCTATTTTGTACACGTTTATAAATATATGTGGAGTTCATTGCCATATATTAATCTTAAGGATGGCAATTTGTAACCGGTTAATCGATTAATCGGTCGGAACGATGCTAATCGGTTAGGAAATCCATAATCGGTTAGTCGGAAAAAAATAAAATATATGTAAATTTGAGCGCAGTTTCCTTCAAATCCCTTCTGTTTTTTAGAAAGGAAATTTAAGCGCTGCATAGATTTTTAATTAGTGTTTTACACATCTTTAAAATTGTAAATAAACTGAGAGTTCAGACATCGACTAGTTCTGATTATGGTGACAACGCAGACTTAACTTCTTATACATCTACGTTGGAAAGTTATCCCTGTCTGATTTCTCAAGCAAGATTCACGTTTTTCTTAATTTTTATTTCTTGTCTATTGAAACTGAAATAAAATATATTCTTATGTACATAAAATTCCCCGATCAAAGTAATAAACAAAATGTAACTTCTAACGTCTTTTTAGCCTTTTTTGTGTATACGAAAAGAAAATGTCGTATCTTGATACGACTAACTGATTAATCGGTCGGAACATTTTGCGATTAACCGATTAGCAATTCTGCAATCGATTGCCATCCCTAAATTTAATCTATAATACTTTTTATTACTATTTTTAAAATGAAGTCATAATTATTATATGAGGACAGGCTTGATCTCTCATTGGTTATCGTTATTTAATATCATCTGTATATCGTGTCATATATGTAAATGTAAATCCCTATGTGACTTTATCTCACCTGATCTGAAAAATCACATAAGCTTTGCCTGTCTGTATGTCTATCCCTTCGTTTGTAAACTTTTCACTTTTTTGACTTCTTCTCCAGGACTATTTGATCAATTTTAACCAAACTTTTCCACAAAGGTTGAATGGAATTCAAGTTTGTTCAAATGAAGGACAGCGTCTTCATCTAAGGGGATGTAATTCAGAAATAGTGAAGTTATTATTGGCATGTTTTCTATACATTGCAGAATCGAATTTGTTCGAATCATGACCCAACGATAAGTTTAGGATATTTCGGCAGTCCCTTAAAATCACACCAATTGAAATCAGCTACAATATTGAAAACCCCAAACCCTGGAATTGATTTAATGTAACACTTACAGCAACAAATAAGGGGACAGCATTTACATGTAAATTTACTGTAGCAAAATACTCTACGCAGAAAAAGTAAATGACTGTACCCCCTGTCCCTCTCCTCGTTCTACGGACCAGAATAGTGATTTTAGATTGTCTTGAGGTACATGTAAAATACTTTTTCGCGACAGGCCTTATAAATGGATTGGCAAACCTCATATGGCCTTCCAAATTTACTCTCGAGCTGTAATAGTTAAAAGTTAAGTGGATTTGAATTTCTTATATTTTTAATAAAGGGCAACGCCTTCTTCCAAGGGCAGATAATTACGAAGAAGATTGGGGGTGGGGGGAATAAGGCGGGCGAAGTGCCTATAGATCGACAGATAAGAAGTGAAAAAAATAAATCTCAATTATATCCAAATTTTATTTGATATTTCATCTAATACTAAATGTACAATCTCTACAATTTACAAAAATCCCACAAACACCGAAAATATTTGCCTATGGTAAAGCATACACACATTAAAAAGAACAAAAATTGATAAGAAAACAAAGAGACCCAAGTGCCCATAACGTTCACCTATGTAATTTTGGCCATGCTGTTCTTCATCAGATTCCCCCTTGTATTTTCTATTGTGGCCTCGCTCTACCCTGGAGTCATGATTTGAAAAATGTATAATATTTACTACACCAGGATGCTTTCACATAAGTTTCAGTTATTCTTGAAGATAAGATTATTCAAGATTGCTATTTTACATTTCAACATCATCGTCGGAAACCCACGGGTGATCTCGTCTTTACTTATCACGTGATAAGTAACTGTAGACGAGATCACCCGTGGGTTTCCGACGATGTTCAACATAAAACTTGGATTTTCTTTTGTGGTCCCGTCCTACCCACAGGGGTCATGATTTGAACAATTTAAAATGTACACTACCCCAGGAAGCTTCCACAACAGTTTCAACTTTTCTGGTCCAGGGCTTCTTGACAAGATTTTTCAATGTTTTGCTTATTTATTTAAATGTAAAACTTTCATTCATTCATTATTGTGGCCCAGCCCTACCACTGGGGTCATAGTCTAAACGTACACTACCCCATGGTGCTTTACATAAATTTCAGCTTTTTGCCACAGTGGCTCTTGAAGAGAACATTTTTAATGACACTATCATATCTTTGTTATATCTTGTTTAACTGTCTATAGGTGGGGTGGGGGGTTGGGGGTTGGACCAATGGTCCTTCATTTAAACAATTTTAATTCCCCCTAATATCTTGCAAATAATTCCTAAAACGTGATTTTAAACATTTTTTCAAACTTTCCTTAAACGTGCCCGGAACTAAGTGCAAAGACTAAATCCCAATTCCAGACATTTCAAAATTCTAGAGGCATTCCGATGAAATTAAACAGTTCTGAAATAATTCATCTTACATTCAAATTTCTTAGGATGCCTCTATAAATTTGGATTGTTTGCAAGATGTGAGGGTTTTTAATCAATGTTTCAAGAGTCTGGTGCATAAAGATCGGTAGGAGTAGTAATATTTTCAACGAACTATCCAGGTAAACAAGCGACTTGAGCAGCCTCCATATATACCTTTACTTTAATACATATCAATAAGGTACATATATATATTAATCAACCAAGATCCAAGAATCTGTGGTCAAAGATGTTTATTCAAAACTTTACATTTTTATTTATGGAGAAAGTGAGAAAATTTCACGTCGTCATTTTCTTTTCGAGTTAAGGTCACTTTAGCACTAAAATTATTGTTATTTCCGATAGAAGATATAATGAAAAACCAAAATAAATTTAACCGAAACATTAGTTCATAAAAATTTGCAATTTTTGTAAGTTCTTTATATAAATATTAATGGATTTTTCCGCCACTATAGCTCCAATATGGCGAATATGTAAATGAGCAGAATGAACATCGTTTCTACATAATGTAGTTTTGCCTGTTCATAAGGAGAATCAGAAGCAGGTCTAGCAGGTTATAAAATTTATTTTTTTAACCACATAAAGTTCTAACATGAAATGGATTTCAGTTCATTCCCAAGGAACCCTTTCCTGTCCCCTCCAAAACTCCACGTGCTTTACTTCATATCTTAGGTTTATTTCTCTGTCCTTTACCTTCATTTTAAAAGATATCGGAGCTTGGAAGTGAAGACTTTAGTCTTTTCAGAAACTTCCGGTTCAATCCTGAGACAAACAATATACTTCATTATTAAAGATTCAAACCAAAAATCGGTTACATAATTTTGCGCCCGAACGATAGATCCGAGGCGTATATTGTTTTGTCCTGTCTGTCTGTTTGCTAGCTGCAGATCTGTAGCATTATGGTTTATATATTTGTCTTTGACCATAACGCTACAGATCCCGTAATGCAAAAAAGATGCAATTTACGGCGCAATATTTTTTGCGCACTTCTGGTGAGAATTTCTCCACTTTCCAGCATCGGTCAATGAACTACCTTTCAACCTCTAATTCTATACACATTATTTAACTATTATCTGTATATTTTATCCATCTCCCAACCCTTTATAGTCGTCTCAACAAGACTAGTGATAAGTTCGCTGGATTATTTGTAAGATTGCTGAAAGTTCACTTCAAGCGAGTTTATACCCTCCGTATACTGTAATCGGTATGTCCGTCCGTCTGTACGTCCATCCATCCGTTTGTTACGCTTTGGGGTACCCATTTCTTATCCTCAACTCCTTTCATACCACTGTATGAAATTTGATGAAACTTTCACAGAATCTTTATTACATATTTATGATATTGCCATTGTGCATCTTCTATTTTACTTTCTGATCGGACACATATTTTAGGTTTTCCAGAGCAAAACATGGACACTGCCATTTTTTTTTTCAATAATATTGAAGGGTACCGATCTCTTATCCGCAACTCCTCCTATACCACTGCATAAAATTTAATGATACTTTCACTGATTCTTTAGTACATAATGCAATTGTGCACCTCTTATTCTACTTCTTGATCTGACACTTATATTTAGTAAAGTCTCTGACACAGAGCCCTCTCCTGACATTATATACTATAAAGAAAGAAATTTTATCTCCCAAACGTTTTAAGAGCGGAGATGATGCAAATAATATCGGAATTCAGGTATTAAATATCCCCTTTAGGTCAGTACTGTTTTACCTTATTTGATTACCTTGACTGTGTATGTATTCAAATGTTTCAATAATCATGATAATCTGTACTTTCGTTTTGATTTTATAGGAAAAGCACAGGTAAGAAAAAGTTTAAAATATACAGATGTTTCGTTTTGTGACCAGACTAAACAATACCAAAAGAAAAATATTATACCGTAACATTATTGAGAAAAAAATTATTTTCCACTCTACTTAAACAATTGAGAATTAATGTAATGGATTTAATGAGTCTCTAATTGTGATACTGCCTTCACGCTCACATTTGTTATATTTGGATAAAATGATAAATATGATCGTCCCCTTTCTTGGGTTGGGTCAACTCAGGTATACATATGTAAACACATGCTCTATCTGACAATTTTTTTTGACAGAATGGCGGAAACTGATTATGATAGTTATTCTGTGGTAGCATCTATAGACATTGACACAACTCGTTCAAGCTATGCATTTGGATTTACATATAACTTAAAGAAGGACCAGTCAGATATTTATATCCCGTCATGGCGTCAACATGGCACGATGTCTAACATGACATCTACAACAGTCTTGTTAAACAAAAAGAGAGAATTTGTGGACTTTGGTTATGAAGCAGAGGATCGGTATGAAAGACTTGCTGAAGAAGAAAAGAAGGAGGACTATTATTATTTCCATAGATTTAAAATGTTACTTAATGACAAGATCAGGACAACAGTGAGTATTCCGGGGTAGAAAGTCAAAAGTAACAAGAATAGATAAGGGTTACCCCATATCCAAAGATATTCGACTTTTAGATTTAATATGTTTAACAGTGTTTAATGACATTTATAAAAATAAAACTGCACTGTCCAGTTATAGAACTTGTGTAAATTTCGTGAGTCCGTAGCATTACGGTCACCCAATATCCTAACCATGCTAACAAACAGTACACATACCTATGTCCGCAAGACCAGTTAGCCTTGGTCTATACACACGTGCGATTGAGTTGTCAAACGGACTCCCGCAAACAGAGAAGTTACGATGGCAGACAGAACTTTTTTTCATAATTAGATCACATGAATACAAATTTTGATTCATAAAAATTAAACGACAGTCAGTTTAGAAATCCCCGGCCAGTTCGGGTTTTGTTACACATTTTACAGGTACTCTCCCGATGTGTAGTTTGTCTACACATGTGCAGGAATCTGCTCAGGGATTGAAAATTCCGTCATTTAATATACTACACACACAGAATGATTATTTTTTCTCTTAGATGAAACTATATGATAATTAACGAACAATTAAGATGATTTTACTACAGTTGTTGATATTAGTATAATCAATTCATCAGTGAAAAAATATCAACCGAAGAATGACCTATATATTCTCTGTTATCAAACATGTTAAAAAAAAAGCTGAGGAGGGAGCGAGCGTAGGAATATTAACATTTTTTATTTTCATTTAGGGGGGAAAGTGATCTTTGGAGGAAAAATTAACATTAATTTTGGTTTCTTTTACGTATGACATACACAACATTATTCTTATCATGAACAATTATGTTGTATCTACTTATTAATGATGGAACTATTTTCGTCGGAACAATTTGTGTGAGTCGCCGCTGAATACAGTAATATATCTTGCACTAATAGTATGCATTGATCGAATATATTAATCAAAGTACTGAAAGTACTGGGAAGCGCTAAGTATATTAATTTGAAATTTATCAGAAATATTTGAATTTAAAATGCCCTGTTGTATTGAATTTTAAGCGATATTTTGACAGTGGGATAGCGCTAGGTCGAGCACAGTTGTCAAAAAGTATGTGAGTCCCGATTTTGTGAACCCCGTTGGGATATGAAATCCAACATAATATCATGCCTTTTTTTCAAGCATTATACATTATCTTCTTATGTCAAAAGATCAATCAATCTCATTTACAGTTCTGTACACGAAATTGCAAGAAAATATTTTTCCGTGTAAAATTATTTTTTTCTCCATCGCCTTGTAGGAATCTATAACAGGTCGTATTTGCGTATAAATTGCAATTTATTGGAAGAGAGATGTTAATCGAGTTTTCCGATGAAATGTAAACTCTAAATGTACATGTAGCTATACTTTTGCAGGAAAATGTATACATTGCATTTGAAAAAAAATGTGAACACTTGAAAATGTCGCTAAAATTCCTCTCATTTACGTGCAACTGAAAGATAAAATCTTCTGGTGATCATATTTAATAACAAATTCATTCTGCGTTTACAAGTTTTTCAAATAGAAAATTGACATCATATTTGTAACAACGTCATATGACAAAACTCTATGTAAATTAAATGAACATCCGTAGAATTAACACCCTTTATGTCAGAGATAATATGTAAATATACATCTTAGGATAAAGATATTATATTTATCTTTTGATGCAATCCTGTAATCTCTCATTTTCAAATGTATGATTTATAGCGTACATGTATTTGCGGTAACATTTTTGTTGAATCATACAATATGTGTCACTCATTAGTAAATGATACGTTTTTGCAGTAAATTTTTTTTACACTTTTCTTCTTTGGATTAAAAATACGCCATTTAACCCCCAAAAGTATTTTTGACTATTGTTGAAATAATTTATAGTGCTTCAATATTTTTTGCGGACGCTTGATGCTTTCCACCATTCTTTACTTGTGTATGTATGATATTCATTACCGTGCAAAACATGCTGAGAGGGAAAAACATATATACAACACTGTTGTGCTAGTTGGAATGGAATACTGAAAAAAATGATTGATCATAATATTTCTGCTATTTCAATGATTAATAATTCAAGAGTCCAAGAAAGAAAATACAGTATTAATCTCAAGTATTAATTAATCTTCATGAAGGTATACAAAATTATATTATTCTGCTTTTGTTTAGTCTTCATTAAGAATCGGTAACACAGATGAGACACATATTTACATAAACTATTTATTCGGCGTTTCCTACTTCAAGTATTACTAACACCGGTTGCATAACATTTCATCAGCCCTATTTCTGTCCATTGCTAAGAACGTTAATTTAGGGAATAACTGTTTTCTTATTTGGTATTTGCGACCGTTAATGCTGATTTAACGGTCGCAAACCGAGTTTTACGCGGAGCCGGTAAAACGGATGTTTGCGACCGTTAAATCAGCATTAACGGTCGCAAATACCAAATTAGTAGATTACTTATTCCCATTCTAATGCAATTCTTGCATTTTCTTTGTTGTTTACGTCTTATTTTGTTGAGTTTTGTTACATGAAATACGTCACGGAGCATTGTGTTTTTGCGTCGCTCTATTATGACGTCACAATGAAAAGCTTTCTGCCTCGTTAATGCTCGTTTTACTGCTTCAAACATCAGTGCTTTAGCCAATCAAAACGTGTTTTACAAAACAATTGCATTAGAATAAAGTTTTAGCATTTTTCGCCATATCCTGCACACTACACGCACAATTTTAGAGCACACTACATGTATTCCGAGAAATAAGTTTTACAATTTGAGTGGATGCGTTGAAAAAACATCCATCAATGCTCTACATATGCATGTCTGTACAACAACAAACTGTCCTTCCTTTCGAATTATGTACAACACAAGTATAGACATTAAAAAAGACCGTCCTTGAATGCATTCCAGTCTGTTACTAATTGATACTTAGATGCGAAAATCAACTTCACTGATAAATCTCAGCATGGTGCAAGATGTTAATTGAAAGGCTTGTTTTAGTTACATTGCCTAAAATAAGGATCTAGAAGAAAAAAATAATTATAGTTTATATGGATATATAGACTGTACCATATTATGTAAGTAGTACATTGTAAATCAATCTTATGTGATTTCTTTTACTGAATAACTCACTTCCAGTTTGAGATTTAAAAACTTAATCAAAATCCCATCTGAGTTTTAAATCATGTACCGGGTGCGTATTGAATATTCAATCACTATATTGCATGTAGATGTACATGATTAATAATATAGTGTTTTTTAATTAAGTATTTGCGCTAAAGGAGCAGCAATTGTAAGCTACATGGTACCAAAGTAATGTGTGCCGACATGATTTAAATGAACTACAATGTATAGAGAAGAGCATGATAAGAACTTCTCTTATCTACTAACTGTGGAACATCTTTGCCTTCTATTATTAGAAATAAACGTAACGCAGCATTTCACTAAAAATAGCAGGAAGAGAGTCAGGGATTTCCAGTTGCATATTTTTAGAATTACAAGTGGAGTTATTTATCTTGCTTATAGTGGCGCTGGAACCAGAACGGAAGTAGATTTACGCTGACAGAAAGCGCTCTGCGCTGCGCTTAGCGCTTAAAAATGAATGTTTGTTTATAGATCAATAATAACTACAGACTTGAACAATCAAAGTAAACACGATGCGTGTATTTCTGTAGCTCGCATTTTTAGAGTAAGAGTAACCTCTATCTTTCATTGCAGAGATACATATGAATTTGTTAACAAATCTCTCTCTCATTTAAATTCAAATCTGCTTTATTAAAACCTGTAGAGCTGGTTAGTAGGGACGCTTGTTTTAACTCTTTATATCTTGGTCACATCAGTTGCCCTTTCGTATTCTTTCCCCATTGGCAAATTTTCTTTCATTTACAGACACTGACATTGAGTACAACAATTCCAGACATTCATGGTAAAGAACTACCAGCAGTAGAAGTTTTCTCACATGCTATCAAATTCCTCAAAAATCATCTTTTGGGTAACATTCCTCAAAGAATATTACATGTAATTGTTAAAGAGGAATTTTGTTGGATTTTGACAATTCCTGCAATTTGGGACAATCCTGGTAAACACTTCCTCAGAGAAGCTGCAAAAATAGTGAGTAATTTCAGTAAAACTCGTTCAGTAAATTAGTACGAACACGCGATTTCACAGATTTAGCGAAGTTTGTTTGAATACCCAACTATTTTACGAATTCGTTATAAGTATATAATGAATACGGATATATAGCCGCTTAGTTTGGGTCTAAAAGATGTGTTGTAGATCGGGCAAGAGGGACTGTTGGCAAGGGAAGTGAGTGGCGTCGTTGGCCGGAATTAGTTGAGCCGTATTCCAAGGACTCTTCCCGATGACACATATAAAAAGTCCAAAGTAACGAGGAATAAGTATGGTTTCCGAATTTATTATAAAGTCTCAACGATGAAAATGACTAACATGGAACAACAAAAAACAATAACCAGTTGTATATGACCATAGCCTCCAAACTGTTAAAAGTAGAAATAGTTACACCATGATGGAGGAACGAGTCGGACGTGTGGCCGGTAGTACACCCGGCCTCCGAACTGTTTTAGTAAAATTTGACAATTGTTTTTATGGGAAAATGTACAATGAGTTAAAAATGACAGGTGTTGACAATGAGTAAAAGTGATACAGTGAACAATTAATGAAATACTTTGATGACATGGACAAAAAGAACGCCGATAATTTAAAAAATATATGTTGTTTGTAAAAGTGATTAAAATGTCCTTGGGCATAAGCACTCTGTCCCACTGGTGTCCGACAAGTGTCACTCAGTAATTGAATGAACACTTAATAATTAAAATGAGAAAGAATTGTAAAATGCAAATTTTAAAACACAATAATTTTAGAATACCAAATATCACATTAAACAAAAATTAAATATAACATTTAGAGTCAAAAATGAATTTGAAGTAAAACAGTCAATTTCATCAGGTGATAGATATATCAAAGTAGTTATTAAAAAAATTCTCATTTATTATTTTGTTCTGAAAAACACTAAAACCATACTCTGTTAGTTTTTATACTGATATTATGATGTTAACAAATGTTTCACCTTGTAATTACCAAAGGCTGAGATAGATGGTTCCAAATTAATAATTGCATACGAGTCGGAAGCTGCTTTTATGTGTTGTACACACTTACCATTGGAGGAATGTTACGACTCTGATGAACAGAAAAAAAATCTAGAAGAAGGAAGTAAACATCTTGTGCTTCATATTGGAGGTAACTTCATTTCTAAATTGTTTTCTTACAATCTTTGCCTATATCATGAAAATCTACATTTACTAGTTATTTGGACAAAAGTTTGGCCTGCTGTTCATTCAATTTTATTTAAAGTAAATTTAAAGTATAGACATCACTTTCCCAATAATACGTTAAAAACAGTCAAAAGTCTAGCTATTGCTGATATGCTCTCCCTCAATCTTCACCCCATCCCCACCTATAGCACCAGAAAAAAAATGTGCTGCATTGTTATACTTCAATAGACCAACCGAAAATCATTGTAAAATACATTTCTTTCATTTTCTTTCTCTTTTTTCTGATAGCTAAATCAGTTGACATCACTGTCCATGAGGTTAAGGCAAGAGGAAGCCTGAAACTATTAGAAAGAGCGAGCTGGGGAGACTGCGGAGAAACAAGCGTTGACACAGCTTTCAAGGAAATGCTCTGTCACATCGTGGGAGGAGAGGAAGCATTGGAAAGATATGCTAAAAGTGAACCAGGGGATTACCAATATCTCTTCGCGCATTTGAACTAAGAAAAAGGTCGATATCAGGGAGAACACATAAGGTGCGCAAAATTTACTTGAGCTTCCCATATTCTTTCATTGCACACTTTCCTGTAATTGAACTTACAAATCGATCTATTTACAGAGATAACTTAGAGTGGAGGCGCGATAAACTCGCGTTTCCTTCTAATATATTTATTGGGTTATTTGAACCATTATGTCAAGAAATCACTGATCATCTCAACGAGGTGGTTCGATTATCAAACGTCAGTGAAATTCAAACAATACATTTGGTGGGTGACTTTTCTACGTCGGTACCCTTTGAAAATGCCTTGAGAAAAACATTTCCAGATATAGATATTCTTATACCTGTCGAACCTGACCTTGCTGTACTGAGAGGCGCAGTACTTTTACACGATAAAGAATTATATACAGATGATGTTGTTGGAGTTGAAAGCAAATGTATTGAAAGTGATGATACGATCTTACTTCAAATAATCCCACAGGTACAGAAAAGTAATCAGGGGGATGGGAAAAATGCAGAATTATCAGTCTCTTTGTTCAGATCAAAAAATCAGAATTCGAGGCGTTTAGAAGAGAGCAGGTGCGATTACATGGGAAACGTTTGTGTTCCAGTGCAAGATAGCACACGCGGCAACAAGGCAGAATTCAAGGTTACAGTTGTACACGGTGGACAGGGGAAAGAGTTGACGGTGGAAGTTTCAACTTCTTCTGGATTTAAAACTGATCTGAAGTTTAGTTGTGAATGAAATATGAAAAACATAAATTTTGCTTTAAATGAACAACGATATCTTTTTAAAAAATTATGCTAAATGCTATATATGTACTAAAAGAATAGATAAGGAGATACTAGTAGTATATGTTTATATTTCAGCATATTGATACTGTTGATTATCTTATAGAAAAAGTCTACGCTCAGCTCTACACTTCAAGGAATTACTGAGTACATGTATAATATTTAAAATATGCACCTTTAAATTATTTGTACTGTTTTATTCCCTTCAGATAAACAACATATTCCCTCTTAATTTCCCTCTCATATTCTCTCTTAATTTCTATTAATTGATGGATCGTTTGACCGTGCCAATGGATACCAATAATTATTTTTCATAAAAGAAATTGTCATTTTTGAAACTATATAATTTCAGAAAGGAATTGTAATGTCTAAACTTTGGACCTGCTTATTTTTAACAAATGCACAGAAATTGCTCAATCGTCTGATTTTATTGAAAGGTCTTATCAAAGCTAATCTACATAGGAAATATGAAAGCCCTGAGATATCTCTTCTCATTCATTTTTTTAACCTAGGGCAGATTGTTGCCAGTAACCGCCAAAGCGGTATTCTTTGTTGAACAGCCTCATGCGTTCCCCGGGGCACGGAGAGGATAATTAGGTAAAGAGCGCCTGTGTGGCGCAGTGGTTGAGTGTCTGTTCTAGTTTCGCGAATTGAGGAGCTGATCGAGTGCCGAGTATAAGTATAAATCTGCAGCCCTCCACCGGCAAGTGGGTGGTGGCGTCTCCGTATGAGTGAAAAATTCTCGAGAGGGACGATAAACAAGAAACAAACCAATGTTAAAGTTTTCGTGACATACTGACAGATGGACCGATAGACGAATTGGATTTAAGGTATTCAATGTATAACGACCATATTTTCAATTTGTACCTAATAAATGAATATTTATATATTCATATATATCCGATATTTTTAATAATGGTAGCATTTTGAAAATATATGTTATCAAATTAAATGCCCAACCAAAATATTTACACAATTTTATTATATACTGTCCATTTAATTGAACCTTGAATTTTGCATTGAAATCCATGGACAGCACACGTTTTAATTTAAGATGTTGAAAAAAGTTATTTGAAATTCAAATAAATCTCTCGGTTAAAAAATATGTCTTAATTCTCTCTTTATTAAACTTTTAAATAAAATAAATTATTTACCGCACACATTTGGAGAAATTAGATTTTTTTTTATTTAATCAAGGGCAGATAACTCTTTAAAAACTTTTTACGTGCAAAATGATCGTCTCCTTACATGTTTTCAGTCTTGTGAATTTGGTTCATTATACTTTTCACGTTATCTACATGTAGCAATGCGTTTTTAACTAGTTTAGAATTATTTAAAAATGTTCAAAATCCCTTCATTATACATTGAATACCTTAATCTCCCCTTACTGCACTAAATAAATAAAAAAAATAATAGTTTAACCAAATCTCTCTCTTTCTCTCTCTCAGAACACATATTAATTATATTGTAAAAGACAATATTGAAGACTTCAAAATATTTAGAAGCATGAAATAAAAATTGTTACACAATTGTAAGAGTCACTTTTAGATATCTGAATTATTGTTGTACTTTCAAAAGTTATTGATCAAGGCTCAAGGATTGAGGTCATGGACTTTTAGTTTCAACACATAAGGTAACACACAATAGATAGGCCAAATTTTTCCTCAAATACAATTTTTCTGAAACTTTGATATTTTGGTCTAGGATACAAAATCTCTCTTTATATATGATATGAAAGAAATTTAACCACACATTTTTTCCCACATAGTCTGATATATGGCCTATCTGACCCCTGTAAGAAGATTGTGAAATCAGACATTCGACTTGAGAATGAGCCTTATTTTAGAATCGTTGGGTAAAAATCCCATTTTAATGACCTAAGTCGATGATAAATGCATGGGAATAGAGCATATTAGAGCCGCATGAAATTAGCAAAATGCCTTGATCAACCAGTTGCTGAATTACATGACAAATTGATTATGTGCTTTAAATAGCGTTCTGAGTCATTTTTGAGAATTGGTCTTAACGTCTCAATGTATATCGGGTCTGTCAAGAATGAAAACGTCTGGAAAGGGAAATCTTGGAGAGGAAGAAGACTGGTAAGATATATCAAGAGAATTATTCATAAACTGTTTTAAAATATATATAATTAATTTTAAAGCAAACTCAAAGACATGTGGTCCCCCGCTAACAATGAACACGACAATTCCTGACATTTTAAACAGAGAGATACCGGCTGTAGATATTTTTGCTCATTCCATACGCTACTTAAAAGGAAATATATTTAAAGATTTAGAACAAAGGAATTCCATTGCTACAGATAAGGATATATTTTGGGTTGTCACCGTTCCCGCAATTTCGGATAATAATGCAAAACAATTCTTGAGGAAGGCTGCAGAACAGGTAATGAATAATAAGCATTAAAAAACTTCTATGACGTCACCCATTGTTATTAGTCTACGTTTATTTTACCGATTCAACCAGCACCAGTTGGATATTCAAAATATCCAACTGGCCATCAGTTGGATATTCAAAATATCCAACTGCCTATCGGTTGGATATTTATATACCCAACTGAGGTGCATAAAACATAAAACAATGAACAAAAGAGATAAAACAATTTTAAAATGTATTTCCAATGCATATGAAAAATAAAATAATTACTCCAAATTTGCCACACTATTAGAATTTATTTCCAGTGCACATGGAATTACCGTAATAACTTCGCATTTATCACATTTATTGTGTTTCAAATGCACTTCCAATGCTCACAAAAATAACAATTCCTCCGAATTTTGCACACTTTTAGAAACGTTTCTTAAATTATGAAAGCATCACTTTTTTGACATATAAATACATTTACACCTTGAATCTTAAACTACATCACTTCTTATTGCTGAATATTATTTCAGGGTCCGTTATCAGTAAACCCCTTCAGATTATCCGAGATTCATCTCTGTTTCATTCTTTATCCCAAAAGAACTTAAACAATTGACAGCCCACCTATTTTTCGACACCATTTTAATTGCAGATCTTGATATGGAATTTTTTTTACAGCAGGTTCAGCATAACACCGCCAATCTTTTTAAATGTATCTGTTTAAGCACTATTACATGTATCGTCCGAATGGAACTCCTTAAGAATCCAACGCTTTTCCTCAACAAACAATCAATGACAAAAATCCCAACCTTTTATAAAAATTCTGTAGTTTTCTTCAGCTTTCAGGTCAAAACTATTCAAAACACTATCTGAACCTCTTTAATTTACATTGGATGAAAAAATATTCTTCGTCTGATTTCTTGACTGTTCAATACAATGAAAAGGGTTGAAATGAAATCAGCACCATGAAGTTTCATGCTCACCAGTCCATGAATAAAATGGGTGTTCGATTCAGCTATTGTCTCGTGTCACAGTTGGATATTTGAATGGGCTACATCCTATTGTATTACAGCAAGTTGGATATTTGAATGGGTAAACGTTTCTTTGGGGCCCAAAGTAGGGAATTTTAGTGTCGATAGTGAATTTTAGTGTGAGAGTGAATTTTAGTGTCGATAGTGTTGAAAAGTTTAGAGAAAACATCCCCTCCTCGGGCGTTCAGCCCTCGGAGAGAATGTTTTCTCTAAACTATTCAACACCATCTCGTTATTTATCCCTTACGTTCTATCGTTTGGGTTTATTAAACACATTTTATGAACGTGTATTTTGAAATGGGAAAAATCCTATAGTTTTTTGCTAGAAATATATTGCTATAAATCAAAGCACAATCTTGTTAACAAATCTTTTTAGTTAAACATAGTTAAACACTACATTGGAATTTCCAAAAGAAAATTCATTATGGAACCAACTTTTTTAACACAGATTATTAGTTTTTAAGAAAGCGTTTAACTACAGTTATGTTTAAACAGGATTTTAGGGTTTTATAATAAATGTTCTATAGGCAGGTATAGACAAAGACAAACTACGAATCGCACTAGAGCCAGAGGCAGCTTCCATTTGGTGCAAGCATCTACCTGTGGCAAAACTCAAAGAAAGTAATAACAGAATAGACTCTTTTCAAGTGGACAGCAAATATCTTGTTCTGGATGCAGGAGGTTCGTACTTATTAATCTAAAAAAAAAAAAGATAACCCCTTAATTAACAATTTCAATCTACATCCTCAATACAAGTCACAACACATAGCATATAATTTGATCCTTGGAATTGAAACCGAAAATATACAAATCTTCATAATATAGTACGCTACATTTCTTTGTTGAGATTCTTGTACTCGTGTCAAAGTAAAAAAAAAATCAAATGCCGCATTTTTTTATGCACTATATATTGTACAAAATGTTGGATAAGGATAAAAAAAAAATAAATGCAGTCTTTTTTTATTTATTTTCTAATCAACTGTAATTAAATCAAATGTTTCTCTGTAATATGAACGAGACTCGAATTTGAGAGAGATGAATTAGGTTAATTTTCCAAGTTTGAATATTTCACTTCGAACATTTTTTCATTCATTAAACTTTAAGTTCTTATTGTAAGGTTCTTTGTTCAAAGGTGGAACTATCGACATAACTACTCCTGAGGTCAAAGACGGAGGAAAACTGAGGGAATTGACGAGGGCCAGTGGAGGGGACTGGGGAGGGGTTAGTGTGGACAAAGCCTTCGAGGTCGTTCTAACTGAGGTTGTAGGAGAAGGCCTGATGAAGGAATTTCGCCGCACATACACGGCCGACTACTTCGAATTGTTTAGGGATTTTGAAATAAAGAAGAGGAAAAGAAACGAAAGTAAGAAGGATGAAGCGTTTGTTACATTGAAAATACCTCTTAGTTTGGTAGAACTTTGCGGAAACATGGCAGGCATGATTGCATGTACCAAATACAAAGGCAATATTGATCTAGAGTTAGATAAACTGAGAATAAACCGTGCAACTTTTGAAGACCTCTTTAGGACCACGTGCGACAGAGTGGTCGATCATGTTAAAAAACTTCTCCAATCACCAAAAGCGAAAGGCGTTGACTTTATCCTTATGGTAGGTGGGTTTTCAGAGTCACCAGTTTTGCAAGATGAAATAAAAAGTGCTTTTTGTTCCAAGTATCGGGTCATTGTTCCCCAGGAAGCCGGACTGACAGTACTCCGCGGTGCGGTGCTTTTTGGAAAAGATCCCAGTACGATCGACTGCCGAATAGCACAGAGAACGTATGGAATAGCTTCAACTCGAACATTCGATCACAAAATACACAAAGAATCAAAGAAATTTCAAGTAAATAAAGTGGACAGATGTGACGATCTATTTAGTAGACATGTAAAGAAAGACGACGAACTCATTTTGAACGTGGCCCAGGCAGAAAAATCTTATACGCCTTTGAAAGCTGACCAAGAAAGTATGCATATTTCCTTGTATAAATCAGAAGTCGATAACCCCATGTATATAGATGATCCAGGATGCACATATCTAGGAAGTTTTGATGTTCCAATGCGAGACACCACTGGCGGACTAGACAGAGAGGTCAAAGTTCGCTTGCTTTTTGGGGACACTGAAATAGAAGTGAAGTGTTTGGTTGTTAGAACTGGTAAAGAAACGTCATACCAATTTAAATTTCTTGAAGATGAACCTTAAATTGTTTTTCCTGAAGTTTAAATGACATGTTTGTTGACATTATTTATTTAACTCATGTACATTTAAAATTACTTGTACACAAAATTTTCTAGTTTGTAACTTTGTATACATTAATATTTTGGCAATTAATACACGTGAAGTACCGGTGTTGTACAGTAATATCCCCCCCCCCTGGAATTTCACCCTCAAGGGAAAATCTCAAACCAGAGCCAAATTCCTCTTCTTTCTTTTTCAGAGTAGAATCTCCCCTCGTTAAAGAGTCAATGTGAACCACAACCGCAATATTTTTGTGAAAAAAATAAGATAAGCCCTATGTCAAAACGAGAAACTAATTCTAGATGGTAAATGAGTGTTTTCGATTTAGATACTGTTCAAATGTAGTAAGAATTTTCTAAGCATATATTTTAAATCACATTGTCTCAATCAGAATAATTAGCATTTAAAAGAATTAAATCTAAAACTTCTCATCGATGTCTAAACACATCTAATGGCCTAAAGATACTTGTATGTGTTAGTAAACATATTTCAAACGTGCAGTACGTATATCAAGGCTATCTAACGTATAAAGATTCAATTTATTTTCAAACAAAGTCACATCTGTATACCTTTTACAACTTGTATGTTGCCTGAATCCAATGCACAAAATTATTATTTGAGTTAGTAACTCGCTAAAACAACGATTATTTTTTTTTATCTCCTATTACATTTATGAGATATTTATCTTATTTCAAAGGATACTTTTATAATTATTTAGTTATAACGGGTACATACGTAGTTATCTTATTATAATATACTTTAATGCATCTTCGCTAGCCAAGTGTCTGATTCGTTTCCCTCATCTCCCGGGAGATGAGGGAAACGAATCAGAGATAACTTTAATGTAAGTTTGTTGAATCTGATTCGTTGAGAAATGTTTGTTAAGACTATCACCCGCTGAATATTGAAGCCACGACCTTAAGTGTAGCAATATGCATGTATTTATAAATATTGCATGTTGCTGAGTGTTACATTGAAAATTTCACCTGAAGAAAACCATTGTCAACCGCGGCATGCAATATATAATTATATTATACTAAATGTTTTATACAAATACAGTCTACAGTGAAGCATGCACGCGTAAATTCTGCGCAGTCAGCATTTCTTGGAATACTGTACGTGTACATACGAGGGGTGATCAAAAAGTTCGCGAACTAATTTAAAAACTCCGATAAAAGAAACAATATTTGGTTTCAATGTTGATATATTTTATATTTATTACCGTCTTCCTTGGAAGACGGTATTGTATAGTTGAAGTTTTTTACAGTCTTCGGACTATGCACTTCCTCTCTTTTGTGATTGGTAGAAATTGCATGATGAGAAAATTTTCAATTATTTCATTGGTTGAAATGCTGTTCAAGGCAAGGGAGATAACTTTCTGATGATCTATTTTTCGTACGACTTAACAATTTTGCAAGATTTCCAATCTTAAAAAAATGACAAAACGAACAACAAAATCAGCAGTAATTATTTCTTAATGACATGATATTTTTTATAGCAATAAATAAAAAAGTCTCTTTAATTTCATTATAAAGAAAATTTGATAGTTATTGCTTGCAGGCTTTACAATTTTTATTATTCTTTTGGTGTGTTCCCGTTTTGCACACATTTGATAATTAGGTATGAACAATAGGTGTGAATGTGTTTTGATAGCAATTATAGTCTGATTTTTGGTTTGGATTTACCTGTGAATACCTTATTTAGCTTAATGTAATCTTGTGAGGTTTAATACAATTTTATAAGCATTTTATTAAAATTCTATATATATTTATGGGAAAATATTTAATTTTATTGAATAAATTATTAATCATTTAATACTATTTATTAATTAAGTCCAATTTCTTAAAAAACGAATAGTTTTCAATCTTCATAAAATTCTAAATGAACTAAATATATAACAAATGATAAAGAAAATAGAGAATAAAAATTAATTTGAAAAATAAAGCCCAATCTAAGATGTTAAGATCATCAGATAATCATAAGATCAAAGTGAGGATCCATGATTGCTGCTGATCTAAGCTGGTAAAATTTTAATTATTATAATTTTTTTGTGTCTTTCAATGTTAGTAAATTGTAAATAACTTTGTTATTTATTCTCTTATTTTTTCTCTATAAGTTCACCTTTCACCTACTTACTAAGTATGGTATAGACTATAGCAATTAAGTAATTATCTCACCTGGTCAAATTCCTGTTTTGCACACATTTTTTAATTACCTGTAATTAAAATGTGTGCAAAACGGGAACAAACCATTCTTTTCCCCTTTATTGTTTGAAGAGTGAATGGGAATCAGCCGAGGTTTGCCGAAAGCTCTCGGCCAGTCAAAGTTTACGGAGATTACCGAGCGACGACCATGGTAGGGCTAATGCCCGTAAAAAGCTAATTTAGAAATACAAAATCATACGGTCTGTTAATTGTAAATCTGTTTACTGTTTAAAATTGTTGCTAAAGACGGTAAGCTTTTTTGAAAAGCTCTACTTGTTTAGCCTAATCCTCACCAATTTTAATGCACATCAACCACCGTTCTGCGCATGCGCGAATCACGTGATATTGGCGGTCACGTGATCCCCTCCGTAGCGTTCTGTCAAAAGTTGAAAGATTTTTCTGAGATTTGTATTTTTTTTTCCATGTGTATTAATTTCTATGACAAGAACAGTACATTTGTCAGAAATGGTCAAATCTCGGAAACAGAATGGGTGGATAAGAATATCCTTTCTGAAAATAAGCATGGCGACCATTATAGGAACTCATTTATCTTTTTAAACTGTGTACAAATTATTATATGATACTGCAGAGGGATTTCTAAGATATACAAATGAATAAATTGTACAGTCGTTTGTTGAACGAGTTCGACTGAGACAACCATTTTTCGTCACAAGTGACCTACATAGTGACGACATTTTCATATTGTGACGTCACAAACAAGGAGCAAAATTTTCCTCATCATATGCTATTTATAGACCTTGTGTATGACTATGTGTACCGAATTTCATTCTAATCTGAATTGTGGTTTTGTAGATATAGAGATACTGTAGACGTACTTTTTTCCACGAAGTCATAATTCCGCGGAATCTCAATTTCTGTTTAATCCGCGGGAAGAAAATTACGCGGATTTTCTAGACTGTCACTATATGTCTTACATTGATATTAACTACGCTTGGACAAATTTCCGCGGAGAATTTGTGACCGCGTACATAGCGTAAATTAATACCACGCGGAAAAAAGTACTTCTACAGTAGTTAGCGAACTTTTTGATCACCTCTCGTAATTTGGCGTATTCAGATTTTAGTGCAATCAATAGCTATGGAGTTGTTGGCTTAATCATGAATTAGCGCTATATACACTTTCAAGCCATATATTCTATTTATAAATGGATTCTTAGCGGTATTCATGAATAAGCGCATCCTTGTCTGCACCAAAGTCGCTAAAATATGAAGCCCGCTTTTTTAGCTCTTCTGAGCCAAAGGCTCAAAGAGCTAATGCTATGGCCATTTGTGCGGTGTGCGTCGTGCGGCGTGCGTTAACTTTTTAGAATATTGGCCATAATTCATGAACCCCTTGGCCAATTATTGTCAAATTTGTCACAGGGTATCCTTGGCCCAAGGGCTACTATTTATACTAAAACTAGGGGTGGGACCCTAAAACAAGGGGAGATAATCACGAAAACTAAACCAAAAGTACTGGTCGCTAAAAAATCTTCTTTTCCAGAACCACCTGGCAGATTTTCACCAAACTTACATACAAGGGTCGGGATATGTTGAAAATTAAAAATTTTTCAAGACATGACCCTGGGGCAAAGGGCGTGGTCTCAAGGTCACTTCAAAGTTGACCAAAATTTACACTTATTAAAAACATTGATATTTTGCTAACTATAAAGACTAGGATCATCAAATCTTGTAAGTTGATGCATCTCAGGACTTGACATCATGTTAATGCAAAAGTAGGTCACGGTGACCTACTTTTTAAATTTTACGGGCTTTTGTTTTCAAATTGATTTGGAGGCATATTTTGGACACTTTAAGGCCTATGATCATAAAACTTTGTCAATTGGTGCATCTTGAGTCCACAAACAACAACTTAAAAGTAGGTCATCGTGACCTACTTTTTGAACTTTATGGCCAATCTTTTCTAAAACATTTAATCTCATTATTTCAGACACCGAGAGGTTTAGAATCACCACATCTTGTAAGTTGATGCATCTAGGGGCCTTAAAACATATTTATCAAAAACTAGGTCACTGTGACCTACTTTTTGAACTTTGCAGGCATTTGTTTTCAAATTGTTTAAAAAGGCATATTTTGAATACTATTAGACCTATGATCATCAAATTTTGTCAATTGGTGCGTCTTTGGTCTTCAGAAAATGTCGACCAAAAAGTAGGTCACTGTGACCTACTTTCGACATTTTATGGCTATATTTAAGTATCACGGGTACTAATTGGCTTAGAATCATCAAAATTTGTCAGTTGATGCATCTTGGGTTTTTGGAGATTAACGACCAAAAAGTAGGTCATGGTGACCTACTTTTGACATTTTATGCCTTTCTTTAAGTATCTCAAGTACTTGTTGGCTTAGAATCATCAACCTTTGTCAGTAGACGCATCTTGGGTTTTCAGAGAATATCCACCAAAAAGTAGGTCACAGTGACCTACTTTAGACATTTTGTGGTTAGTTTTATGTATCTTAGGTATTATTTGGTTTAGAATCATCAAACTTTGTCATTTGATGCATCTTAGGTTTTTGGAGCATACTGACCAAAAAGTAGGTCACGGTGACCTACTTTTGAATATCTCAGGTACTGATTGGCTGAGAATCATCAAACTTTGTCAGTAGATGCATCTTGGGTTTTCGGAGAATGTCGACCAAAAAGTAGGTCATGATGACCTACTTTTGACATTTTATGGTTATATTTAGGTATTTCAAGTACTTATTGGTTTAGAATCATCAAACTTTGTTATTTGATGCATCTTGGGTTCTCGGAGAATGATGATCAAAAATTAGGTCACGGTGACCTACTTGTGACATTTATGGCTATATATATTAAGCATTCTTGGGTACGTATTGGCTTAGAATTGTCAAACTTTCAGTTAATGCACCTAAAATGGGTTTTCGGAGAATGTTGTCCAGTA